CTTGAAGCCCTGGCCTTGCGCCCCTACAGCCTGATACAGCTCCTCTTCCCTGCCTGTTCTTGAAAGGATTGAGGTGTCCCATGGGTGCAAACGGAAACCGTGCCTCAGGACAGCTCTATCTTTTTCCTCCTGCGAATCATGCATGTTTCTGCCCTTATTTGGTGGTGGTTTAGCTGCTGGGCAGCCCTCCAGGGGAGTGTGCCTGAGGAAGTAGCCAGGCAGCCTGCTCCTGACTTCTTCCTGCCCCTCTGAGTTTGAAAGAGCCCCAAGGAGACTAGCAGGAATGAATGCCCAACTGCCTGGGAAGGGACTTAAGGCCTTGTTTTTCCTTCCAGTCCCCAGAGAAGAATTCTTTCTCATATGTTTTTGTGGTTGGAGAATATTTTTGCCAATTCTTTGAGAAGACTTCCCCTCCAAATCCCCCCATTCCCACCCCTCCCCACCCCCCCACCCGCTTTCCTAGGAATTTCCTTCCCTAAGTTGACACCTTCATCGTTCACTTGGAAGCCCCCTTCTTCCTACCCTCAAGCAAAGAAACAAACAAGAACAGTTGTGTTCACCCAGGTTCTCTTGAGGGGCTTCCCTTAGAGGCAGGACGTGTGAGTCCCTGCCAGAAGGACCATCTAGGGAGATGTTCTCCATTCATTGCTGTCAGAGACTTAGTGCTTTTTGCACATGCCTCTACAAAGAGTTTTGCATAAACACACTCTCTGCCCAGCAGGACAAAGGCAGAACAAGCTCTTTGAACAAACCAGCTCACCCTCTCATCCTCTATTGAGTTCCTACTGAGGGCTGTAATGTAGGCCCCAAAAGTGACCACTCGGAGAGGAGTGATCTGGCCAAGAGATTCTTTATTGCTGGGTGGGAGAGGGGGAGAGCAAAGAGAGAGAGAGAAAGAGAGGGGCAGGGGCTTAAATACCCTCAGTGAGAATTGGCATGATCTGATTGGTTAGAATCTTATGGTTCACGCTGATTGGAGGTTGGGGCAGAAGGAGAATTCAAGCACCATCGTGACCCTGGGAAACAGAAGCTTAAGAGTGCAGTAAGAACCGAAACCCATCGGCGCCATTATTGCCAACATTCCTCCCTTTTTTGTTTGTTAAGGAAGGGGGACTTCTTCGAGCTGGCAATGGGGCGGCGTAGGGGAAGGGAGGGTCAGTTGGCAAACAATGTTGGGGTGCTGAGTCTCATGATGGCGTACACCCAGGCTCCGAAAATGAAGATTTCCTCTTCCCTGAAGTTGATGAAGGTCCCTTATAGCCATAGATCATAAAGAGTCTCGAGCCAATCCTCCGACCTCCGCATGGTGGGTATCAGCCAACTATCCTCGTGTAGGGAGAGGTTGGTATCCCTGGAGGTACAACTGGTTACATTTTTGATCAGCAATAGCAGACATGCAGTATGATACAAGGGAGGAAGCTTAAGAATAGGAGAGCAAGAACACAGGCATTAGGATGGGCATTGGCCAGGAGAACCACTGTGAAATGTTCCCTAGACAATTTCAAGAGTCCTCCAATTCCCTTCTCCATTTTCTAATTGTTTCTCAAGAGGTGCCGCCATTGGGGGATCCCATTGATCTTGAGAGCAGTGGGTGTCATGAGAATGACCAGATGAGGGCTGGTCCATCGAAGTCCCAATGGAGAAGGTAGAAGATCCTTTTTGGAGAACAAGATGCCCTGGTTTAAAGAAATTGTTACAGAGTGGGGCAGGATCTGGTTTGCATGCTCTCTGAGAAGTTCTCTGAGAAGGCAGGTACTCAGCCAGAGGAGCAGAGTCTGCTGGAGGCAAGTTTTCTAAGAGAAATGGGTGGCCATACATATCTAAGACCCAAATAGGAATATTAGGAGGAGCATAAAAAGGTGTCTGTTCAGGGACTACATGCCTAGGATCTAAATTCGCAAAATCCTGTAACTGCCAGGAAAGCTGTAAGATGTCTAATGGTATGGGGGTTGGGAAATGGAAGATTGGGTTGATGCACTTATGACTCAGGGAGTGAGTCTGTTCCTTTAAGGCCTGTGGGAGGTAGGGGCTGTCAGGATTTAAATGTAACACTCTTGGATAAAAGAGAGCTTTAGCTCATTATTTTATATAAACTGACACTTTTAACCTTTTAAATGTTTGTACCGTATTTAGATAAAGTATAACGTAACACTGTTATAAGGTGGTCATTTAAGACACATAAGCAAATATGTAAATATGTAAATGAACTCTGATTTAGTAGTACTTAAAGCTTGACAAGATCAGCAGAAAACACAATTTCTTTGATAAAATCTTTCTCTGTAATGTTTTTTTGTAGATGTTACTCAGAGCAGAATATTAAGATAACCTTGTTATTTCATAGATATAGAGGATTTGATTTTAGTTTGACATGACCCTAAAAATCTTTTAGGCAACTCTTAGATTATATTCAACTTTAACTTTATCACACACCGAAGCTTTTACTATACACTTTTCAAACTTACTCAGACCTTCATACAACATACTAAACCCTTTGATGGTTTGTCCTTATCCTTCCTATTTGAAACAATCTTTAGGACAAACCCCTTCTTTACAAAATCCCTTCTCATCCAAAAAACCATTCCTTTTTCCTTTAACTTCTCAAAAAATACATTTATTACCTATCTATATCCTTTCCAGTTGTTTACTTTGTAACTTGTATTTTAAAATTAACTTTTATAAGAATTTTAAATTTATTATAGGGGCTGGAGCAACTAATTAGTAGCCCTTACTGTTTTAAGGAATAGGCCTAAGGCCTCATCATTCCTCAGGCTTGAGGGGATACTGTTTTAGGTGTGGAAACTGTGAGGGATTTTTTTAGTTTTATTTGAATAGGGAGGGCCATCCTGGCTCACCCTACACTCATCTCATCAGTCCACACTGTGGAATCTCTTTGTTCCTGAAGGAGGGGGCAGCAGAGATAGCTGCCTGGGGGGAGGAGAATATGAGCTTTTAATTGAGATAGTAAATCCCATCCCAGCAGGGACCCTGAAGTTTTAGGTACTATGAGGAAGGAGTGACAGAAGTGGAGGTCTCCCCAAGAGCAGGCCAGAGGCCAGGTAAACTAGTGTTCTAGGGGCTAGCCAGATTTGCCCCAAACGATAACTTTTGTCATTGGACCGGGGACCAGGAGAAAAAGGTAAAACAGAGAAACGGGCTCCATTGTCTAGGAGGAAAATGACCTTTTGTTTTTCTGCCATTATGGCTCCTCAACATTGATGCCAAGAAGTGGAGTATGGACAGGAGGCTGGGACCCATCACCCATCAACCCATAGGAGGAGGTACCTCGCCTTCCATCTGGTGACGGGGGCACTTAGCCCTCCAGTGGTTACCCTTGCAGAGGGCAGGGTCCTGGTTGGGGGCGGGGCTGTCTCCCGGGCTGTCCCCCCTTAGGCATTCTCTGCAGAAGTGACCCTCCTGCCCACCACGGTAGCAAGTTCAGGATACAGGCCTCAGTCAGGTGGGGCCCTCTCTGAGAGCAGCAATGAGGCCATGTGTCCCTTATCTTTTTCTCTCCTGTTAGTAAGGTCCTGGACATACAGACATAGCCATAAATACAGACATGGCTGCTGTGTTACTTGGTTCAATGACTTTTCCTTCAGCCACAGTCTGAGTTTTTTACGAATATCTGGGGCTGACTGTTAGAAATTTATCTTTGAGGAGAACCTCTCTCACCTGTGACTCTGAGTCCACCGTAGTATGCTTTCTGTTAGGTTGTTGCTGTAAAGTAAAGTTGTTATTTTACATTGACACCTGACACTCTGGAGAGCAAGTCTCTGAACTGTTCTGGGCCTCAGTTTCCTCACTTGAAGAATGAGGGGTCTGGTCTAAGTTAAACTACATTTTTCTACTATGAGATGGCTGAAGTGACATTAATGCCACTTATCTTCTTTACCATTTTTTTATTTTTTTAGTAATCATGGGGAATTGAACCCAGGGTTTTGCACATGCTGAGCAGACATTCTCCCATTGAACTACTTCCTCAGCCCCAAATATTATTATTATTATTATTATTATTTTTTTTTTTTTTTTACTTTGGCTGCACCGGTCTTGAACTCAGGACTTTCTGCTTGTAAAGCGGCACTCTACTGCTTGAGCCATATAATCATTTCCAACCTGAGTAGCCTGGGCCGGGACCCATTGCTTTTCTAATGAGATAAGAGTCTGGTCTATTAGAAGGATAATATCCTTTCATGACAGTTGAAAGGTTTGGATCACAGAGATAAAAGCTTGAATGTATTTGGGCATCAGTACAGCTGTTTAGATGTTTTTAAATTTCCCTTAGATCTGGTAACTGGAAGGGGACATGAGACTTGCCCTCTTCCTACCATTGCCTGTTGAAGAGGGAAGCACTCGTTAAGAGGTTCTGAGTATTGGAGTAGCTTAGAAGGTAGAAATTTGTATAGGGGACCTCAGTTTACTTTTTTACTTTTATAGAAAAGGTCTAATTGGAGTATGGTATTGTAATTTAAGGAACCCTGTGAAGGCCACTTCTCTTGGGCGGCAGGCTGAGAAGTGCACTTTCTCAAGCTCACTCGGAAAGGGAGACTTGCGGGGGCAGGTGGGTGTGGACATTTTTTTTGTCCAACTGAAGTCCCAAAAGCTTCAGAGGTTTTTTTTTTTTTTTTTTTGGTGGTACTGGGTCTTGAACTTAGGGCCTTCACCTTGAGCCACTCTGCCACCCCTTTTTGTGATGGGTATTTTTGAGAAAGGATCTCGAGAACTATTTGCATGGTCTGGCTTCGAACTGAGATCCTCCTGATCTCTGCCTCTTGAGTAGCTAGGATTACAGGCATGAGCCACTGGCACCCAGCAAAAGGTTTCTATGGGCTAGGAATGGTAGCATTTTCTTTCATCCCAACTACTCAGGAGGCTGAGTCAAGAGGATCACTTGAGCCTAGTTCAGAGCCTGCCTGGGCAACATAGGAGACCTCATCTCAGAAAAAAAAAAAAATAAATGTTTCTGTGGAATGATCACTTTCCTCTTCTTTTTGTCTTTCCAGGGTTGAGTTCCAGAATAAATTTTATAGCGGTACTGGTTTTCAAGTTCCTACCCTTCTCCTTTGAGCACATTCGGGAAGGGAAGCTTGATGAATGAGCCCCTGGTAGGGCTGCCCCAGCTGAACTCATCTCCACTATCTTCCTCCCACCCTTGTTCCCTAATGAGTTACTGAGAGCTGCTTGTGCACTCTCCCAGGCTGGGATGGGCATGGGCCACTCTGCCCCAGCTTCACTGTGCCCTGGTCCACTGTGACCTAACCCGAACCTTGTGCAGAGACCCCTACCCCATGGTGCCTGGTTTACATGTGACCTTTGCTCTGCTTACTATAGGGTTTGGAGCAGGAGTTCTTGTCAGAGACCCTGCCCAAGGCTCTTCTGTTCAGACATTCCTGTGCTAAATAAAGTGTGTTTGACTCTCTTGTCTGCCTGTGTCTGCCCATATCTCCTTGTCAATTGACTCAGCCCTCTTGAGCCCATCTAGTGCTCTACACCCTCCGCCTTCTGCCAGTTTCTGCTTCTCTTGCTGATCAGAGGCCACAGCTGCGTGGCCCTGACTGGGCAGTTAGTTTGTGAAATTCTCCCCTTATCTCAAGTTTACCAGGCGCCTTCCCACTACCATGAGCCAAGGCAGCTCTGCAGACACTGCCCATGGTGTGGAGAGGCCTAGGCACTGATACTCATCTCCCTTCTCTCCCTGTACATCCCAGCAGCCCTGGGGAAAGTGAGTTGGGCCCCCACCTTCGCTCTTCACTGTGTGCTTTCCAGGGCTCAGTGTCCCGGCTATTTTGAGCCCTGATGCCCTTGGCCTTGGTGCAAGTGGAGGCTTGGCATGGGTTCCTCAGGGTAGCTGGAACATGAGGTGCTGAGGTAAGCAGGCAATAGGTCAGAAAACCAGCCTACTGGGCAAGGGAAAGGAGGGTGACTTCCCCTCCTAACTTCCCTATGAGGCATACACATTCTTCCCTTTTCATTCCTATGGAGGCCTCCAGGGCAGAGGCCCAGGAATGTGAGCAGCGGCCGACACCTGCTCCAGGAGAGGTGGGACACCCTGTTCATCTCAAGATCGTTATCACCTCAGCCTAAATTTCTCTCCCCTCTAACGGCCTGAAGCAGGCCTGGGGTGCACCCCCACCCTACCTGGCTCCCCTAGTAAAAGGTTTACAGAAAATTCTGGTCAGTGAGCTCTTTTAAGACTTGGGAAAAGGGGGTACAGCTAATCAGAAGAGATTTAGAATCATTGGAACAAAATTGAGAGTCCAGGAATAAATCCTAACACAATCAATGGATTTTTGACAAGGGGATCAAAGTAATTCAATGATGAAAGAATCATCTTCATCAAGTGGAATTAATACAACTGGGAATAAGTTTAGACTGCTCCCTCACCATATAAAAAACAAACTTGAACAGCTGTAATCCCAGCATTTAAGAGGCTGAGGCAGAGGATGAAGAGTTTGAGGCCAGCCTGAGCTACATAGTGAGACCATCTCAAAAAAAATTAAAAAAATAAAACCAAAACCCCCTCAAAGTGAATCATACGTAGACTTAAGTGAAAGAATTGAAATTAGAAAACTGAGGGGAAGTCATAGGAGTACATCTTGACCTTAAGTTAGGCAAGCAGTGATTTTTTTAGATAGGATACAAAGCACAAGTAACAAGGGAAAAGATAAAAATGTAGATAAGTTGGACTTTGGAAAAAGCAAAACTTTTTTGCATTAAAGAATGTATAAACAACTCTTCCAACCCTCGAATAGAGGCAGTTTTTTAAGATGGGCAGAGGATTTGAATAGGCATTTCTCTGAATGACCATATGAATGGTCAAACCCAGCGAAAATGCATTAGTCATTATAGAAATGCAAATCAATGCTATGGTGAGCCACCATACCACATTCACTAAAAAGGGCCACCATTGCCTCATGTCTGTAATTCCAGCTACCCAGTAGGCAGAGACCAGGAGGATTGCACTTTGAAGCCAGACCAGGCAAATAGTTTGCAAGACCCTATCTTGAAAATACCCAACACACACATACCCAAATAGGAATGGGGCATCAGCCAAGCAAGTGCAAGGCCCTGAGTTCAATCCTCAGTACCATCAATTAATAAAAAGACTATAATATGACAATCAGAAGTGTTGGCAAGTGGGGTGCCAGTGGCTCACGCCTGTAATCCTAGCTACTCAGGAAGTAGCAATCAGGAGGATTGTGGTTCAAAGCCAGCTCAGGCAAATAATTTGCGAGACCCTATCTCATAAAAATCTATTATAAAAAAGGGCTGATGGAGCGGCTCAAGGTGAAGGCCCTGAGTTTAAACTCTAGTACAGCCAAGAAAAAAAAAAAAATGTTGGCAGAAAGAACCCCAACTCACTGCTGATGGGAACATAAACTGACAGCTACTTTGGAAAGTAGTCTGACAATTCCTCAAAATGTTAAACATAAAATTAACTGAAGACTCAACAAGTGCACTTCTAGCTATCCAAGAAACATGTAAATGTACACAAATTTCATAGCAGCGTTATTCATAATAGCCAAAATAGAAAAAGCCCAGATGTCCATCAGCAGTTTTTACTCTGCAAAAAAGAGGAGTGAAGAGCTAGGCACAGTGGTTCATGCCTGTGATCCCAGTATTTTGGGAGGTTGGGAGGAAGGCTGCATCCTCTAGGCCAGCATAGCCCACCTAGACACTGGAGTGGAGGGAGCAAAGTGCTGATCTGTGCTGCCACGTGAATAAGCCTACGTGAAAGAAGCCAGACACAGAAGATGTATAATTCCATTTACATGAAATGTCCAGAATGGGCAGATCCATAGAAACAAAGTAGACTGGTGGCCACTAGGGGCTGAATGCTGACTGGGGAGAAAGGTTAAAACAAGTGACTGCTAATGAGTTTGGAGTTGCTTTGGGGGATGACGAAAATGTAAACTTAGCCTATGGTGATAATGTCACAATTCTGTGACCACCCTGAAACCCACTGACTTGTACACTTTAAGCTGGTGAGCCTTTTGGTACATAATCTCAATAAGCATGCATTGTGCGGAGAGGCTGGAGGGCTTCCTTGGGGAGAAAGTCCTCTCTTCTCTGGTTGACAGGCACTAAGGGGAAAGCAGGGCTCATGGGCCCTTGGCTCTGTTGAGTTCTCAGAATCTAGTGGCCTTGGGTTACCTCCAGCCAGCTAAAGATGGCTGACCAGGAACCAAGCTGGAATGTGTGGAAAATCCCAGGGCTCTGAGGTACAGTAGAGAGCAGGATGGTTCCATTGCTCCTGTTTTAAGGGACATGGCCCTTTTTGCTGAACACCAGACATCTGCTGAGTGTGTCTGTGCCCATTCAGGGACTACCCCTCCCCCTGATGTCCTAGAACCAGGGAAGGTGGCTGTGGGCCTGCTGGACTTGAGGAGTCCCAGCCTTCATAAACAGCCCCACTGTGCTGCTTTCTCCCCAGGAGCCCTGGCAGAAGAGGCACAGAGCCTGACAGCAGTCTCACCCCTTCAGTTCAATCAGTGACCCTCCCGCTTGCAGACTACCCAAGGCTCGTCCTCAGTGTGGGCTGCTCCCTGGTGGCCACACAAGGAAAGACTGTTCTTCAGGTCAAGTGGGCCAGGATCAGGGCTGAACTTGCAGGCTGGTAACTGAATTGGCAGGGCAGAGATGGAAGCAATCCTACAGCTCTATCTGGGTACATGGGCAGAGGGTCAGGCTGGCCAGGGGCAAAAAGACAGATGAGATGGAGAGCAAGATGAGATCCAGCCAACTTGTTTCACGCATTAGTGGAAAGAGTAATAAAATGTGTCACATGCTAAAAGGACCAAATAGTACAAAGTATAAAAGTGAGTCTTCCATCCCCAGCATCAAGATACCTCCCTGGGGCAATCATTGTTTACAGAGCTTTTTTATTGAAAAAACACAAATGGAGGGCTGGTGGAGTGGCTTAAGTGGTAGAGTACCTACCTAGCAAGCATGAGGCCCTAAGTTCAAACCCCAGAACCTCCAAAAAAAAAGAAAACCTACATAAAGGTAGTGTGAGTGCACTACATTCATTGGTTTGACTTGTCCACCCCACCTGCTTTGGAATAGGGTCTCACTATGTTGCAAAGGCTGGTCTTAAACTGGGCTCAAGCCCAGCCTCAGCCTCCTGAGTTGCTGGGACTACAGGTGTGCACCATCATACCAGCTTGACTTTTTTTTTTAAATATAGTTTGCAGAATATTCTGAATTCTTGCAAACACATTGTATGGGCAGAAAGATGAACACCTTTTCTCACCCCTCCTAAGAGAAACAATGACTCAAAAACCCCAAAACTCAAAAACTATCCATTTTCATACTTAGACTCAATAAACAATGGTTAGCACAGAAAAATGTGATGGGAGAAAGGGGTCTGACTAATGATAATAGATGAAAGGGGAGAAAACAAGCAAGGCCTTTTGTTCAGATTCTTGGTAGAATTCCTTCCCTCCCAGTATAGAGAAGGATCCTGTCTGGAATCAGGGTTCATGACCTACTATCAGACAAGGTATGTTGATAATGTTTATTACAGGCAGTTCTTACACAGAAAGTTGGGGAAAATTACAGTAATTAGTTGTAGGTTTATGGATTGCTTTACAAGAAGACTTCCAGTCTGTAGGACCTGCCATGGAAAAGAAGGCTTTCTAAAAGTTTCTTTGGTCTGCTTGGAGGAGAAAGGGGAGCAAGAGAAAGAGGGACAAGAGAGGGTCAGAGACTTTGCTGTGCCCAGCAAGGGAAGGGAAGAAAGGAAAGGGAAAGTGAGAGGGAGGAAGGGAAGAGAAGGAAGAGAAGAAGGGAGGGACAGCTTCTAGGCCTTTGCAATGTCATTTACTTCAAACAACTCAGTTTGAACCAAAACACCACACTTTGGGATGTCATTTTCTGAGCCTCATCACCATCTTCCACATTTTAATGCAAATGCTTAATACTTCATCCTGTAGTTGTATCTTATTCAACCAGCTCCCTCTCCCCCATCTGAGTTCCTAGCCTGTAGGGAAAGAGGAGAAAAGAGACATTAACTCTGGGCAGGGATTTAATCCATGAAGCTAGTGGCTCAGCTAGCCATGTTACCAATCCCCTGAATCTACTGCCCCTCCCAGCAACTCCTTACTACCTGGTTGACTTCCTACCCCACAGAGAGGCACCCTGAGCCTGATGGCAGACTTACAGCCCAATCCTTCCCCCACTACCCATGTGTTCCCTAAGATCCAGAAATGCTGGGGACACAGCAGGTCCTGGGAGGAGGAGGAAAGTCTTACAAATCTCAACTGGCACCAAGAGGGTCTTGGAGGGGAGAGTGAGGATGAGGGGGGAGGCTGTAGGCCGGGCTTAGAGCAGCTCCCCAGATGAGAACTGGGTGAAGTAGGGCCACACCTCCTAGGAGCTCCTTGGGGAGCCAAGAATAGAGTGGGGGTACTGCAGTTGCACTTGGGTAGGGGGTAGCAACAGGCACTCAGTGGATGCCTGTTGTCTTTCTGGGTCCTGTGGACTATACAACCTCTCTCTGACCCCTTCTCCTTGTCCCTAAGCTGCTCCATTCAGCCATGGCAGTCTGAAAAAGTCAACACCTGTCTCCAAAAGGACTCAGAGTCCTTTTAGAAATAGTAGTCTTTCCAGAGCCCACCATTCCGGTGGTCCTACTAACCCTCTCCCTGCCCAGATAGGCAGCCGTGACAAGACCCTGTTCTAAGAGTTAGACCTCCCTATTCTAGTCCCCACTGCTTATGGACCTTGCCCAAGGCACTTTCTTCCTCTGGCTTCAGTTTGCCAATCTGTAAAATAAAGACAATTCCTGTCCTGTTACTACTGTCCTTTGGGGGCAGCCTTGCCATGCCCACCAGGACCTGCTGCAGGCCAGGATGAGCTCCCATGGCCACCCTTCTACCATCTTTACCTTCTGGGGGCCTTCATCTACGTGAGGCAAACTAAATTAGGGAAAGTAAGGCATGGAAACCAAGAGCCAGAAACTAAGAATAAACACTGTGTTTATAGATAAGTTGAAATCTCTCATTCCCCATTAGTTCTACAACAGCTGCCCATGTTCTTAACCTTGCACTAATGATTTGCCCAGAGCGCTGGATAAGCATGGCCTGGGAGAGTATCTCAAAAAAACAAAACAAAGCAAACAAACAATCTGCCAGGTGCCAGTGGCTCATACCTATAATCCTAGCTACTTGGGAGGCTGAGATCAGGAGGATGGAGGTTTGAGACCAGCCCAGGCAAATAATTCCTAAGACTCCATCTCCAAAATAACCAAAGCAAAATGGACTAGCTGTGTTGCTTAAGCAGTACAGCGCCTGCTTTGAAGTTTCAAAGCCCTGATTTCAAATTCCAATCCCATCAAAAAAAAAAAAACTTAAGAAAAACATCTGACAAAACTCATCATTGAACTAAAAAGGATAGCTCATTAGAGGAACGTTTATTTTCCTCCTAATAATGGGCTTTTCTGCCCTAAACAAATACCTTCTAAAAGAAAGGACCTGGGAGATTCTCAGATATATTACCTATGTTGCTTAAGGAGGCTTGGTCTCAGGGAATCTTAAACTTACCAATTCCAAGAACACAAAATACAATTAGAGGAGGGTTGTTGTCACAGCAAATGATGAACGTGACAGATGTTGAAACAAAGAAGCATACCCAGAGATAAGGCCTAGAGCCCTACGTGACTTGACCCTCATAATACACCCGACACAAAAGACTCAGTCTTCTCAGATGCCCACATCCCCCAGCCTTTTGAGATGGACTCTGTTTTTCTGTTTTGCTAAATAAAACTCTATCAATTTCTTACCTAACTAGACTGCTCCAGAAGTTCTTTTCTGTGATGATGTCACAAACTCGGTTGGCACGGTTGCCCTGAATACAGCATCCTGTGTCATAAAATTGCCACTCCAGATTGAGGTTATGCTCTCTAGAAGCCTCCCTGGGTTTGAACAGGTCCTGGTTCTGGTGACATCCCTCAGCCCGGAAGACTCTTGCCTCCCTCTTCTCCAGACAATTCATACTCATCCTTGGGTTTCAGGTTAAATTATAAAAGGTATTTAGAAGCTGCTTTTTGCTAAAAACACTGACTCCTTACTTGGCCTCCTTGCCTCCATCTTACATCTGTCTTTGCTTTTTTGCTTTTTGTGTCTTTGCTCTGAACAGTCACTTTGCAGCCATTTTGGAATGCAGGAAGGACAAAACTGATAACATCTTGTGACAAGAGTCAACAATGATTCTGCCTGATCAATCTTGAGATAATCAAAAGAATGCACCTGTGACCGGGACTATTTAATAATTATGTATGTCTCTCATTCTCTACCCCAATTCTTTCTCTATTTAAACCTGAGGCTCATGTCTGTACCCCAAAGATGGGCTGAAATGCTAACTTTGACTCTTCTGCACATACCTATGGTGCATAATAAATCTTTCTCTGCCCTTCATCATTACACTTTGTTATTTGTACTACTGGGGTTTGAACTGAGGGACTTGAGTTTGCCAGACAAGCACTCTACTACTTGCTTTGCTTATTTATTTTGCTTTAGTTAGTTTTCAGATTTGGTCTCATACTTTTGCCCAGGCCAGCCTTGGACAGTTATCCTCTTAACTCTGCTTCCAGAGTATCTGTGATTACAGATATGCACTACCATGCCCAGCTTCAAGCTTTTTTCCTTTGCCCTTCTTCATGGCATCACCACCATGATAGAAATCCTTATGTATTTGGTTTCTAAGTCTCCCTCAGATTAAAGACATCAGGAGCCATCTATCTCTTTACCTGTATCCCAGGAGCTATGACAATGTCTGGTACAAAATAAATTACAAATACAAATTTATTAGATGGAGGGCTGGGAATGTAGCTCAGGGGTACGGTCTTGCCTGCGTGCCTGAGGACCTGGTTTCAACCCAACAGTTCCAAAAAGGAAGTTTATTGTGTGGTTGGCTGGATGGAAAGGAAATGATTTGCAAGTGAAACTGCGTTGTACGTGAGGCGCTTTGGGAAGGCGAGGGGGCCGCACCCGGCCTTGGACTTGTGATGGGGTCACGCGCTCCTCCACCGCATGTAGTCGGAAGACATCCGCCGGCGCGGTCAGGACCCGGAAACGAAGTCCGACCGCGGGTAGCGGCAGTGCGCCCTTCTGTGCCACGTGGCCTGAAGCCCGCCGCTTATTGGACGCAGGCGGTCCCGCCCCTCTGGTCCTGAGCCCGGATTGGTCGTCCGTCTCCAGGCTGAGAACATGGAAGCGGCAATGGTGGCCGTGGCGCTGGGGTTCCTCCTCCTGGCGGGGGCCGGGGCCTCGGCCGGCGACGAGGCCCGGGAGGCGGCGGCCGTGCGGGCGCTCGTGGTCAGGCTGCTGGGGCCCGGGCCGGCGGCCGACTTCTCGGTGTCGGTGGAGCGCGCCCTGGCGGCCGAGACAGGCTTGGACACCTACAGCCTGAGCGGTGGCGGCGGGGCGCGCGTGCGGGTGCGGGGCTCCACCGGTGTGGCGGCCGCCGCGGGGCTGCACCGCTACCTGCGCGACTTCTGCGGCTGCCAGGTGGCCTGGTCCGGCTCTCAGCTGCACCTGCCGCGGCCGCTGCCCGCGGTGCCTGACGAGCTGACCGAGGCCACGCCCAACAGGTATCTGTCCAGACTGCCCCGTGCAGCACTGGGGCAGCTGCCTCCAGCCTCCAGCCCCGGGGTGCCCACCCATTCCTGCACTGGGCTGGAGCTGCAGAAACCTGGAAGCTTGAGTAGGAAGCACGGGCTCTGGGGTCCATTAACTGTGCCGTCAGATCCTAGCTCCACCTCGAACAGTTGTGTGTTCTTGAGCAAGTCGCTTAGCCTCTCAGAGCCTCGGGTGGCCCATCTGAAAAGATGGAAATAATGGAGTCCACCGTGCATTTGTGAGGATTTGCACGATAATGGACGTGGGCGTAGAACGGCTGGGGCGTAATTGTGATCAGTAAATTCTAGTCCCTCCCTCTCTCTCTCTCTTTGAAGATGCTGATGCGCACCCGGCTCACAGGCCTCTCTGTTCTAGCACTTGCCACACTGTGTGGACGGGATGTGTTCACATACCTGTTTCCCCATCAGGTCAGGGACCCCTTTCCTGGACAGGGACTCAAAAAGTGTTGAATGAAAATGGAACATGTGTCCACAAATATCTGCCAGGCTAGAAGGCCCTGGAAGAAGCTCCTCCTGGGTGGATCCTGGAGAGAAGCAGTCAAGGGTTCAGTTTGAAAGCCCTCTCTCTCCGCTGTGGGAGTGTGGGAGTGTGGGGTGTTGTCTCAGGGCCAGGTTGTCTCTGAGGTCTTCCAGACAAATGGACCCTCAGGGGTGCTAGGTATCCTCTCTGCCCACAGCAATGTGCTCCTGCTTGCAGGTACCGCTATTACCAGAATGTGTGCACGCAAAGCTATTCGTTTGTATGGTGGGACTGGGCCCGCTGGGAGCAAGAAATTGACTGGATGGCGCTGAACGGCATCAACCTGGCGCTGGCCTGGAACGGCCAGGAGGCCATCTGGGAGCGGGTGGGTGCCCACCTGGCTCCTCTACACAGTCTTACCTACCTCATTCTCTGCCTCCTGTGTGCCTGCCCCCCCACCCCGTGCAGTACCTGGTACACAGAGAATAAAGGCTCCAGAAGTGTTTGTGTCATGCATGATGGCTCCAGCCCCTCAGAAACTGAGACTTCCATTAGTGAGATGAATATATCTGAGTATTTACTGTGGGTGAGACCCCCCCAGCCCTCTGCTGAAACAGCATAAGCCACTAAGGCACACATATCCACCCCCGATCTAAAGGTAGATTCTACCTCATTAGCTGTCTTGGCCCATTCCCTAGGAGCCTCATGGTTCTTTGGCTTTCCTTCTTTTTCCCTGTAGCTCACTTTGTTCCATGAAACCTTCCAAAATTGTCCCTGGTTTGGGGAAAGCCCCTTTGCCCCACCCCCTCACCCAAAGGTGGCACTTTGGTGAACTTAAACTGCTCACAGGTCTGTTTCACCTGGACTGTGGGCTCCCTACAGGCTAGGGCACAATTTTGTCTTGGTAGCTCTAGTGCCCAGCATAGAGAAGCAATGATGAATGCTTGTTGAATGAATGAATTGGAGAATAAAGGTAAGTGTTAATATGTGGGGATTGCCTTCCTCTTCAGGTGTACCTGGCCTTGGGCCTGACCCAGTCAGAGATCAATGAGTATTTCACTGGTCCTGCCTTCCTGGCCTGGGGGCGCATGGGCAATCTGCACACCTGGGGTGGCCCCCTGACCCGCTTCTGGCACATCAAGCAGCTTTACTTGCAGGTAAAATGATGGGGAAGGGAAGCAGTGGAATTAATACTGGATGGTCACAGGTCCATGGAGGGTGGTATTCGGTCAGCCTCAAGGCTTTTAACTGACCCCTGGGGCTCTGTCTTGAGCAAGTGAGAGCCTCCCCAGCAGTGGTCCTGTTTACAGCTGCTATCCATTCCTCCCAGCATCGGATCCTGGACCGGATGCGCTCTTTCGGCATGATCCCAGTGTTACCTGCATTTGCAGGGCATGTCCCCAAGGCTATCACCAGGTGAGGTTCTCCCTTACCACCCACTCAGCTGAGCAGAGAGTTTTTCCTCTGTAAGACATAACTTGAAGAAAAACTTAAAAGCTGGGCGTGGTGGTGCATGGTTATCATCCCAGCTACTCTGGAGGCAGAGGTAGGAGGATTGAGGTCAGAGGCCTTCCATAGCAAAGTTAGCTCTAGACCCTATCTGAAGACAAACCAAATGTAAAAGGGCAGGGGGCCTGGTTCAAAAGGTAGAGCACTTGCTTGGGAGGTCCAAGACCCTGGGTTCAATCCCCAGTACAAACACAAAACAATAAAACAAAAAAAAACCGTTAAGCTCTGAATGTTGACCTTGGGTTAGATTCCTGGTTCTGTTACCAGTCATGACATGACTGCTCCCAGCCTCAGTTTCCTCACTAGTAAAATGGGATCCTAACCTACTTTACCATGAAGTTTGGGTATGTGTATGACTTTGTGGAGAATGCTAGGCAGGCGCTCTACCACTTGAGCCACTCCGCCAGCCAAGTGACTGCTGTTATTAGTAGTATGGGGTCGCACTGGTCCTTGTCATTTTGCTTTTCTGGGCTATACCATCCTCCTGTTGGCCAGGAAGGGCTTCAAGGCCCAGCCTAGCCCTCCCCTTTCTCAGCAAGCCTTGCCAGCTCCCCCAGGAGTCTCCTTTGTGTGCATGAGCACTTGGTCACCACCATTCCCACAGCACTGAGCTTGCTGCTGGCCTTGCTGGCTGCCCTGTCACCTTCCTCACCAGGTAACAGGAACCTCATTCATTCATTCAGTGAATGTTTATCCAGCTGTCTGAGGCTGCTAGATCCAGCTCTGTGTTGGGTCCTGGAAAGGCTTTGTTCCTAATGGGAGACACTTGAAAGAAGAAAATGACACAGTAACAAGGCAGGAATATATGTGGGTCCCCATGGAAGAGGGGCAGAAAGGGTTTATGGCAAAGATATTGTTGAGCCCAGTGGTAATAAACAAGAAGTGTTTTCTTTCCAGCCAGTGGAAGGGGGAGAGATAGCAAAAGCTTTCCAGAAAGGTGACACTTAAAAGATAGTAAGGAAGAAGTAAGTAGATAAGCAGAAGGAGGAGGACGGGATGCCAGGTAGAGGGCACAGCATGTGCAAAAGCGTAGGGACGTACAAAGACGAATTTTGATGCTATGGGTGTTATGAAGCTGATGAAAGATTACAAGCCAAGAATACTGTGTCAGCCTCCAGACACTCTGAGCTTTTTCTCCCCATTAGGGTGTTTCCACAGGCCAATGTCACCCAGTTGGGTAGTTGGGGACACTTCAACTGCTCCTACTCCTGCTCCTTCCTTCTGGCTCCAGAAGACACTGTATTCAGCCTCATCGGGAGCCTCTTCCTATGGGAACTGATCAAAGAGTTTGGCACAGACCACATCTATGGGGCTGACACTTTCAATGAGATGCAGCCTCTCTCCTCGGAACCCTCCTACCTCACTGCAGCCACCGCTGCTGTCTATGAAGCCATGATCACTGGTATGGGGCCTGGAGGGGTAGGGGAGAGAAACTCCCAGACCAGCAGGGAGATGATGATGGCAGAGGTCAATAGAGGGGGGAGGAGGGACTGGGCATAAGAACAGCCCACTGTAGCACACAGCACTTGGCCGCTTACCCAGCACTTGTGCACACACACCAGCTCATTTAATCCCACTGAGGTTGAGAGGTAAACTCTGGAGCCACAGACTCCAGGATTAACAATTCCTAGCTGTGTGGTTTCTGACAAGCTACCTCCTTCCCAGTGTCTCAGTGGTTTCCTCTGAACCATGGGGCAGCCTCATAGGACACTGTAAAGAGATTTTAGCTGGTGTCTACCTCACTGTTGAAGTAGGTCAAGCAGGCCAGAGGTTAAGGTTTGTGCCCAAAGACGGTAAAGTATCCATCCTGCTATACAAATGCAAACCCAGGGCTCCCTTCCACCACTTATGGATGAGGGGCAGAGGGGCCTAAGTCAGGAATGGCCTGGTGAGGAGGCCTCTGTGTCACCCAGAAAGGGAGCAGATTGGCTTAGGCTTCCTTGAGTAGTGCTCTCCAAATGTGATCCACAACCAGTGGCATGAGCATCCCCCTGAAGCATATCAGCATGAGTCCATTTTTCACTACTACAACAAAATACCTGAGGTTTACTTTGGCTCACAGTTCTGGAGGTTCAAGGGCCCACATCTGGTGGCCTTCTAAGGGGCACAGGGCATCACATGGTGAGAGACAGGAAGTGCAGGTGTATGTGTTCTTTGTTCTCTCCCTCTTCTCATAAAGCCACCAGGGTTCTGTCATGGGGGTTCCACCCTGATGACTTATGTAATCCTAATCACCTCCCAAAGCCCCCACCTCTGACCACTTTAGTTGGGTTAATTTCCACCCTCTTACAACCTCTCAACGGGGATAAAATTTCAGTACATGAACCCTTGGGGGACACACTCAAACTGTACCTAAACCGTAACAGTGCCAGATATGTGAATTCTCAGACCCCACCCCCAATCGCCTGAGTTGAATGGTCCAGAAGCTGGGGCCCAGGAACCCATGTCTTTAAGAAGCCCTCTGTATAGTTCTGAAGCCCAGGACCCAGATGAGCTCGCAGTCAGGAGGAGACAGGATGGGGAGGGTATGGTGATGGTGATCCTGCCAATTACAGGGGAATGTGTATCTTGTGACAGTCACTTCTTGGGACCTGTGTTCTCATCTGTAGAATGAGGTCAACAGTCCCCTGGCCCTCTCTCCTCTCATCACCCCTCCTTTCTGTTCTTTCCACTCCCCAACTGCAGTGGATCCTGATGCCGTGTGGCTGCTCCAAGGCTGGCTCTTCCAGCACCAGCCCGAATTTTGGGGACTCCCCCAGGTCAAGGCTGTGCTGGGGGCCGTGCCCCAAGGTCGCCTCCTGGTTCTGGACCTGTTTGCTGAGAACCAGCCTGTATACACCCGCACAGCCTCCTTCCAGGGCCAGCCCTTCATCTGGTGCATGCTACATAACTTTGGGGGTAACCACGGCCTATTTGGAGCTCTGGAGGCTGTGAACCAAGGCCCCAAGGCTGCTCACCTCTTCCCCAACTCCACCATGGTAGGCACTGGCATAGCCCCTGAGGGCATTGGCCAGAATGAAGTGGTCTATGCCCTCATGGCCGAACTGGGGTGGCGGAAAGAGCCAGTGCCAGATTTGGCAGCCTGGGTAAGCAACTTTGCTGCAAGGCGGTATGGGGTCTCCCAGCGGGAGACAGAGGCAGCCTGGAGACTACTGCTCAGAAGTGTCTACAACTGCTCTGGCGAGGCCTGCAGAGGCACAACCACAGCCCACTGGTCAAGCGGCCATCCCTGCAGATGAATACCACTGTCTGGTACAACCGATCAGATGTGTTTGAGGCCTGGCGGCTGCTGCTAATAGCTGCTTCCAACCTGACCACTAACCCAGCCTTCCGCTATGACCTGCTAGATGTCACCCGCCAGGCAGTCCAGGAGCTGGTCAGCTTGTACTATGAGGAGGCGAGGACTGCCTATATGAACAAGGAGCTCATTTCCCTGCTCAGAGCTGGAGGCATCCTGGTCTATGAGCTTCTGCCTGCATTGGACCAGGTGTTGGCTAGTGACAGCCGGTTCTTGCTGGGCAGCTGGCTGGAGCAGGCCCGAGGGGTGGCAGTCAGTGAAGCTGAGGCCCATTTGTACGAGCAGAACAGCCGCTTCCAGCTGACCTTGTGGGGGCCTGAGGGCAACATTCTAGACTATGCAAACAAGCAGCTGTCTGGACTGGTGGCTGATTACTACAAGCCCCGCTGGGGCCTGTTCCTCCAGACCTTGGTGGATAGCTTGGCCCAGGGTGTCCCTTTCCAACAGCACCAGTTTGATGCGAAAGTCTTCCAGGTGGAGCAGGCCTTTGTTCTCAGCAAGAAGAGATATCCTATCTACCCCCAAGGTGACACTGTGGACCTAGCCAGGAAGATTTTCCTCAAATATTCCCCCCGGGGGGTTGCTGGATCTTTGTGACAGATTAATCACCATCCAGTCATGGTCATGTTCTCCTGTACTGCAGGCTGGGACAGGTTTTGAAGCCTGGGACTAGATAAAGCATCATCATAGGGTGTCCCCACACCTGGAAAGAGGAGGCATGCATGGTTTGGAGGAAAATGAGCTGCCCACTGCTGCCAACCCCACATTTGGTATTAAAGTACTGTTTTCTGCCAACTTAATAAACTGATGAATTGTTGTGAGTCTGTCAGAATGAAAAGGTCATTGCCAAGATGTGTATAGCATGGACCCTGGGGTGGGGCCAATTCTCCCTCCCCTTGTCTCAGTTACTCCACTTGAATTCTAATTCTGGCTTTTGAACAGAGAATGTACTCCCAAAGGCCAGTGGCAAACTGGTAACTGTAATTGTCCTTGGGGACAAAGGCCTACCCAGGAAATCTGCCCAGGGTGCCCCTCGGTGCCCAGGCCTCCTGCTTGCAAAGCCTCCCCCTCCCTCTGGTCAGCAAGGACCACAGTTTGGTGTTACAATCAGTGGCCTTTTCTCTGCTTCAGCCCACTATTGGGCAGGGAGAGTTGGCTAGGAACCTGGGAAGGCTTGCCCTTGAGATTGCAATGCAGACAAAACAAGGGATGGGGGCCCCTGCAGGCGGGGGCGGGGCAAAGCAGGTGATATCCAGCCTAGGGACCCATGCCTAGGGACACTAGTGTTCCTGAGCCTCTTCACAGGATCCTCATGGACCGCACCGTGGTGCTCATCACTGGCTGCTCCTCGGGCATCGGCCTGCATTTGGCCGTACGTCTGGCTTCAGACCCATCCCGGAGCTTCAAAGGTATGGAGGAGGATGGACATGGAGAAAAGGGAAGAACCCTGAAGGTAAGCAGGGTGTTCAGATCTTCCTCCTTTCCCAAACCTCTAGTGTATGCTACGCTGAGGGACCTGAAGGCACAGGGCCCGCTGTGGGAGTTGGCCCGGGCCCGGGGGTGCCCTTCTGACTCCCTGGAGACACTGGAATTGGACGTAAGGGATTCAAATTCTGTGGCCGCTGCGCGGGCACGCGTGACTGAGGGCCGAGTGGATGTGTTGGGTGAGCCTCCCTGAGACACCTGTAGACGGAGCCGTCCTCACCAGGTGTACAAACCAGGATGGTCCGTGCCCAAGGAACACTAGGGGACGGGCGGGGGCTGAGAGCAGCGCATGAGACGTGCGGGACGCGACTCTGTCTCCGCAGTGTGTAATGCGGGCCGGGGCCTGTTCGGGCCGCTAGAGGCGCACGAGCTGGACGCCGTGGGCCAGGTGCTGGACGTGAATGTGATCGGAACCGTGCGGATGCTGCAAGCTTTCCTGCCAGACATGAAGCGGCGCCGTTCGGGACGCGTGTTGGTGACCGCGAGCGTGGGAGGCTTGATGGGTTAGTGGAAGGGCCGGAGTCCTGCGGAAGGGCAGGGTCGCAGGCGAGAAGACCGTGAGAGGGCGAAGCCTCAGCTTCCTCTTCCTCTCCAAGGGCTGCCCTTCCACGCCGTTTACTGTGCCAGCAAGTTCGCGCTGGAAGGTTTATGCGAGAGTCTGGCCGTTCTGTTGCTGCCCTTCGGTGTCCAGTGAGTCACCACTCACCCGAACCCTCTGAACCCCGAGCTTGACAATCGAAGCACCCAGTCTTGGAGCCGCTCTTGGGCCCTCCTGGCCCCTCCCCGGCTCGCACAGTTGTATGCCAGGCTCTGTGCTGGGCGCTTTGCACGCGTTATCCCACTTCTCATGCTACCCTAGCTCCTGATGCGTCGATGTTGTGATGCATCGGCTCAGAGAGGCTGGTTGACTTTCTGTGGGTCGCATACCTGTAAGTTATCCAGCAAGGCTCGAATTGTGACGCCAGAGTTCCCTTCGTACTCTCAAATGGGCATGGGAGCGCTTTTCCAGCAGTGATCCGCTTTAAAAACGCTGTGCCTATCCTAAATGCCCGTGCGCAGCCGCTTGCTTAAATCCTCTCTTCGAGGCTCTGTGGCCCGGCGTTGGGGGGATGGGAAGCTCTTGTCCGTTTTCGCCCACTCTCCACTGTCGCCGCAGCGTGAGCCTCATTGAGTGTGGCCCGGTGCACACAGCCTTCTACGAGAAGCTGGAGGGTGGCCCAGGCGGGGCTCTGGACCGCGCGGATGCCCAGACCCGCCACCTCTTCTCACTCTACCAGCGCCACTACGAGCACATCTTGCAAGAGGCACAGGATCCGGAGGAGGTGACAGAGGTGGGTGCTGGAAGGGGCGGGGCCGGGGTGTTGGCGGGAGCGGCGAGCCAGACCCAGGCAGATGCGGCGATCTGCGCCCCTCTTCCTGCCGCCTCAGGTCTTCCTCGCCGCACTGCGTGACCCGCAGCCCGCCCTGCGCTACTTCAGTACGGAGAACTTCCTGCCCCTGGCCCGGCTGCGCCTGGATGACCCCAGCGGCTGCAGCTATGTGGCCGCCATGCACCGCGCAGTGTTCTCCGAGGAGCAGGTGGAGGGGGCCGAGGCCAAGGCCAGAGCCCTAGGGGACCCTAAGCTCTGCGCTTCTCCCGCTGCCCCAAAATAAAGGCTTTGTCCGCCGTAGCCTCTCGCGTCCTCCTTTGCTTCTCCGGGAGTGCGGTCCCGGGGGAATGGGGTGGTGTCTGCATTGTGCTGGCGCGCAGTGGATAAATGACCAGGACAAATCACATTAGTCCCAATTACACTCCGCGGGAAACCGAGGTCACACAGGAGGAAAGCACTACCCCAGGGAGTATTGGGTTGTAAATTGGTCCTCTAATTAGTCATGAGACCCCCCCCCCCAAGGCACGGTCCTTACTTTCTCGGCAGATGTTTTCACATCTGTACAGTATCACAACAGTACAACGCTCCCTCTGGTTCACGTGGAATAATTGCCTGAAGATGCTAATATAGATGCCTTAACAGCCAGCACAGTTAGAATTACTATCGATCTGTTCCCCTGTAGACCAAATGTATAAAGAAGGATCGGGCTAAATGAATCCAAAGGTACAACCCTGCTCAGTCCCCCTTCATGTCCCTACCTCAGCCCAAACCCAGCTAGAGCAGGCCTCACCATCCCTCCCCTCCCCCACAAAGGTGCCTCTCTCCTTCAGGTTCAGATGGGCCTCCAGGCCTGGCTAGTCTGCCCAGTGGTCTGTTCTCCTTCCCCAGCATGCAGAGGGGCACAGGAGGGCAGGAGCCACTGGTGGGGGCTGCAAGGTGTGGAGGTCTGCTAGGGAGGAGAGGGAGAACAAATAGAAGGCAAGGAGGGTGCTGGCAGAGAAAAAGGTGTGGGTGTGCTCAGGGGGTAGGGTGGGGTGGTATTGGGGTAGGGTTAGGCTTGGGGGGTCATGTCTGGGAGGAGGTGAAGGATGGGGATGGCCACAGAGAGCCTGGGAAGTAGAGGGGAACCTACTGGAGAACTTGGGCTCTGTCAGGGACATCCCAACTGGACATCCTAACCTGCCTACCTACCAGATAGGCAGGATCTTCTCTGGTCCCCTTGGACTGTCAACTGCCTCTGCTCTTGGAGAAGAAAGCCTCCCAGCCACTTCACCCCTGCCCATTTCCCTGCCCTGCTGGTCCAGATGAGTCCACTGTTCCTATAGCATCCAGGAAAAAGAGTAGAGGACCACGGTGGTCTGAATTTCTGAGGCATGGGAGTTGCTCCCAGAGCCTGCCTCCACCCCAACTGCTGAGAGTGAGTGAGAGAGAGAGAGAGAGAGAGAGAGAGAGAGAGAGAGAGAGGACTCACAAGGTCAGTTCAGGGGGTAGGGTGTGACCTGTCTCCTTTCTCTTCCAAACATTCATACAAGTGATAATCTCATACTATTGTATGATCTCAAATACCATTCATTTACATGGTGATGTCCCCTGAACCCCCCCCCAAAAAAAACTTCAAGTATTTTCAAACGCATTGCCTCCTACAAACATCAGGTTGGTGTCTTCAGCTGCCTACTCAACATCTCCACTTGATGTCTAATAAACTTAATAAGGTCAAACTCCAATTCCTGATTGGGGGATACTTGCTCCTTCTCCAGTCTTCTCCATTTCAGTGTCTGACAACTCCACTTGCCTGGATGCTTAGTCCAAAAACCTTGGACTACTGATTGACTCCAATGTCTATCTGTTTCTTCTCTCTCTCATAATCAGCAGATAGATACTGACAACACTACTTTCAGTCTTCAAGGCATATTGAAAAATTACCCTATTCTGCCCACTATTATCTATCTTCCTGAACTATTACTGCAATAGCCTCTGAACTGGTTTTCTAGATTCCACTCTTGCTCACCAACGGAAATATGCAGTCAGAATTTTTTTTTTTTCCATACTGGGGCTTGAACTCAGGGCCTTCACCTTGAGTCACTCCATCAGCCCTTTTTTGTGAAGATTTTTTTTGAGATAGGGTCTCTCAAACTATTTGCCTGGTTTGGCTTTGAACTGAGATCCTCCTGATCTTTGCCTCCTGAATAGCTAGGATTACAGGTGTGAGTTATCGGCATGTGGCTAAAATACTTTCATTTTATCTATTTATTGGTGGGACTGGGGTTTGAATTTAGGGCTTTGCACTTACAAAGCAGGTGCTCTACTACTTGTACCACACCTCCAGTCGGTTTTCTAAAAATGAGCTGGGCGCTGGTGGCTCACACCTGTGATCCTAGCTACTCAGGAGGCAGAAATCAGGAGGATCGAGGTTCAAAGCCAGCCTGGGCAAATAGTTCTGCAAGACCCTATCTCAAAAAATCATTCACACAAATAGGGCTGATGGAGTGGCTCAAGGTGAAGGTCCAGTTCAAGGTCCAGTACCACAAAAAAAAAAAAAAAGAAAGAAAGAAAGAAAGAAAGTGGCCAGATGTAATAGTGGTGCATGTCTGTAATCTCAGCACCTAGGAGGCTGAGGCTGAGGCCAGTCTGGGCTACACAACCAGATTCTCTGAAAACAAAGCAAACAAAAAAACGAAAAAGAAAACAAATCTCTGCTCAAACACTTTGAGCTAGGCTGGGCTGGGCTGGCCTGGGGCTCAGTGGTAGAGCACTTGCTGCATGAGACTCTGGGTTTGATCCCCAGCACAGAGCACTGAGCGTGGGGGCACACCTTCTGGAACTTCCCATCTCAGTAAAACCCAAGGTTTTTCCCCCAAGATCTCCAAGACCTTTTGTGATCAGGCCCCTGCTTCTTTCCTGACCTCATCTTCCACCATGGTTCATCATCAGCCTTCCTGGCCTCCTGCCTCAAGTGCTGTACTCTGTCTGGTTCACTTTTCCTTGATCTCTGATTCTATTTCTTTAGGTCTTTGCTGTTTTCCTGAACCAACCTATAAAACAGCATTCCCTCTCCTCCCTTACTTTGCTTTATTTTTCTTCATTGCTCTCATCATCAGTGGATGTATTATAGATTTGTCCATTGTTTATTCACCATCCCATCCCAAGACACACAGAATCTAAGTTCCAGGAAGGCAGAGGCTTTATTTCTGTTCACCGGCACTAAATACACATTTACTGAGAATAAGAGAAACTCTGTGTGACAAATGAGACTATCCAGACGTTTTGGGACATCCCGACAGACTTTGCTTTTTGCTTCTTCACATCAAGTCCTCTCTTAAAATCCAACTGAAAATGTCTTCTTGCAAGAATCCTGGTCCTTTACAACTCTTTGATCCAAAGCAGATCTGTGAGTCTGAGGCCTAAAGGCCCTTCCTAAGACTACAACAGACTGGACCTGGGGTGTAGTTCAGTGGTGAAGGCTGGGTGAGATCACAGATCTCCAGCAGGCGCGCGCGGGCATACACACAAAACAATTAAGTATCAAAGTGTGCATTGTTCTAGTTCAGGAAAATAAACCACAGCACATTATGGGAATCGTGAAGATTAGGCTTTCTCCCTTTTGAGATCTCCGTGTATGTTTTATCTGAAATGCTGGCTTCCCTTTCACATCGCTACTACCAGGTCTAGCCTCTTCAGCCCTCATTGACTTCGCTGTAAATCCTTACCACTGGATCTCCCGCCATTTCCTGGCCAGAGACCCTGGCAGCATACGCTCTTGCTCATTTGCACGATGGCGCACGGAAGCTGCGAGCTGCGGAGAGCATCCATGGAAACCACGAGACCGGTCCCTACTGCCCCTGGAACTTTTAGGGCCCCAATTTTTCCAACTGTGAAACAGGTACGTGGGTAGAGCTGTCCAGTAACCTCCCAAATGACAGTCCTCGGGCTGGGAGCGCACCAGGATGGGAATGGGAACACCGGCTCTAGAGCAAACACACCCTGTGATTCCTACCTCTATGCGCGGCGTGAAGAAGAAAAGCCGGCCCGGCGCGGGTGGCTCACAGCCAGCCTGGGCAAATAGTGCATGAGACCCCGTCTCGAAAAAACCCATCACAAAAAAGGGCTGGTTGGCCTGGAGGTGTGGCTCAAGTGGTAGAGTGCCTGCTTTGCAAGTGCAAAGCCCTGAGTTCAAACCCCAGTCCCACCAAAAAAAAAAAAAACAAAACAAAAAAGGGCTGGTGGAGTGGCTCAGGTGTAGGCCCTGCGTTCAAGCCTCAGTATCGCAAAAAAAAATAAAAGGAAAGCTGGGTGCTAATTCTGGCTTTGTCACTGGCTCTTGGGTAATCTGGATAAAAGAAATTTCTCCTTTCCAGGCTTGAAATACGCGAAACGGGTTTTTAAGTCTGCCTTGCACCGCAACTGGAACTAAGATTTTACCCTTCCCAGAGACTCCGCGTTCAACCCCGCCCAACGAGGAGTCTCGCGAGAGTTCCTTCTGTATGGAAGTTCAGATGTTTGACCTCTCTGCGTTCCGTAACCGGAAGTTGTGGTTCTTGAGGTAGTGCTTCCGGGCCGCAGTTTGGGCTGCCTCCGCGGCGGTGTATATGGAACTAAAGCCCAGAGGTTTCAGTGAGTAGAACAACCAGCCTGAGCCTGAGCTTCCCTCGTTAGTCCCCTACTTCGATTCTGTGAAGACCCCGGTGTAGCAAGGGAGCCCGTGATTATCCGATCCGCAGTCCTATGACTCAGGGGTTCCTGTACAGTTCTCCATTACTAGGATTTTGGCTTACTGTAGCGAAGTCACTGAGCTGTCTGCCCTCCCCCCCCCACCCCCGGCCCAAAGTTCCTTTCTCCTGGGTCCAAAGTCCCATGCAGGCCTCAGCCTCTGCTGCAAGCCCCACAGACACTCTCGCTTCGTCTCCCCTCTCCCAGACTGTCTGCAGGCCTGGGCACCATGGCTGTATTCCGGTCGGGCCTCCTGGTGCTGACTACGCCTCTGGCCTCCCTGGCACCTCGCCTGGCTCCCATCCTGACCTCGGCGGCCCGCTTGGTAAATCGTACACTCTATGTACACCTGCAGCCAGGCATGAGCCTGGAGGGTCCGGCACAGCCCCAGTCCAGCCCCGTGCAGGCCACGTCTGAGGTTCTGGATTTCATCACGCACCTGTATGCTGGCGCTGATCTGCATAGGCACCTGGACATCAGAATGCTGCTGACTAATATCCAAGCCAAGAGCGCCTTTCTGCCTCCTCTGCCCACTTCAGTGCAGAATCTGGCCCACCCGCCAGAAGTAGTGCTGACGGATTTCCAGACCTTGGATGGAAGCCAGTACAATCCCGTTAAACAGCAACTAGAGCGATATGCCACCAGCTGTTACAGCTGTTGTCCGCACCTGTCTTCAGTACTGCTATACCCTGATTATGGGACTGGAGAGCAGCCCGTGGAGCCCCTGGATGCCCCTTTACCCTCCACCATCAGACCAGCTTCCCCGGTAGCCCGGTCTCCAAAGCAGCCTGTGCGTGGCTACCACCGTGGGGCTGTGGGTGGCACGTTTGACCGCCTGCACAATGCCCACAAGGTGTTGCTCAGTGTTGCATGTGTCCTGGCCCAAGAGCAGCTTGTGGTGGGAGTAGCAGACAAAGATCTGTTGAAGAGTGAGTGAATGGAACCCTTGATTAGGGCAGTGCAGGACCCCTTCCCAGGTTTCCTTGCCTCCCCCCACCGCCTTATGCCAAGATCAAGGAAGGATAGTATCATCTATTGTTCCCCACCCTTCTCAAATGTCACAGTGCCTGCCACTCAGTTGGTGCTAAGGAAATTTTGTTAAAAGTAAATTCAGGTTCCTCAGCACGTGGTCCGCTCAGTTATGCTCAGGTCAGTCAGAATTCCTTAAATGTGGAACCAACTGAAAGTTGTATGCACTTCACAACTGAAGTTTGAACACTGGGAATAAATGGATGAGCAAGTTATAGGCAGTAGTGCCACAAACAGTAAGAGGGGACTCAAGGATGGTGTGGTTCTTGGAATTCTCTGATACCCACTGTTATTACTAGTTCTCTGGAGAAATTTCTTTTCTCTCTTTTTTTTTTTTTTTTTTGTGGTACTGGGGCCTGAACTCAGGGCCTATACCTTGAGCCACTCCACCAAGCCCTTTTTTGTGGTGGGTTTTTTTGAGATTGGGTCTCAGGAACTATTTGCCTGGGCTGGCTTCAAATAGTGATCCTCCTGAGTAGCTAGGATTACAGGTCTGAGCCATGGGCACCTGGCTCTGGAATAATTTCTTGGTGGCTTGTTCTCTGGACACATGCCAGTTCTTGCAGTGACATATTTGCCTGTTTCCTCCCTATTATACCCCTTCTTCCCCATTACCACAGACCTCCCCAGTTTAACCCTTCATACTATTCTCCTCTGGAGATAGAGTGCTTAGGAACACTCCTTCCTAAACTGGCCCATACTTCCTCCCCAATAAAAAGATCTCACTGTTCTTCTGGGCTCCTTCCTCAGGCAAGTTGCTCCCTGAACTGCTCCAACCTTATACAGAACGCGTGGAACATCTGAGTGAGTTCCTGGTGGACATCAAGCCCTCTTTGGCTTTTGATATCATTCCCCTACTGGACCCCTATGGGCCGGCTGGCTCTGACCCCTCCCTGGAGTTCCTGGTGGTCAGCGAGGAGACCTATCGTGGGGGGATGGCCGTCAACCGCTTCCGCCTTGAGAATGTAACTCCTGAGGGGGAGGGGGAAGTCATTGTGGGAGGCTCTTGAAAGTATGGAGGTTCTCAGTGTGGTAGGAAGAAGCCAAAGTAACTGATTCTGAGTTTGCCCGCTGAGTTGGAAATGGAGCCTGGGATAGGTAGGAAAGGATAAAGGGCAGGTTAGGAGTCAGAATCTGTCCTTCTATCTCTTTTCACCTTTCCCTCTTTATCTCAGAGCCTGGAGGAGCTTGCCTTGTACCAGATCCAGCTACTGAAGGATGAAAACCACAAGGAGAACGAAGAGGATAAAGTCAGCTCCTCCACCTTCCGCCAACGAATCCTGGGGAACCTGCTTCGGCCTCCAAATGTAAGGCTTTCCTCCCTCCTTCCTTTCTTCCTTGGGTGTGTGGGAAATGCTGGAGAGTAGAAACTGAGGGGTTCAGCCCCAAGCATGAGCTTGAGGGACCCTATAACTCTGGGGTTCCCATTCATCTACCCCCAGAAGAGGCCAGAACTCCCCTCAGGTCTCTACGTGCTTGGGCTGACCGGCATCAGTGGCTCTGGGAAGAGCTCAGTAGCTCAGCGGCTGAAGGGCCTGGGGGCATTTGTCATCGACAGTGACCACCTGGGCCATCGGGCCTATGCCCCAGGTGGCCCTGCCTACCAGCCTGTAGTGGAGGCCTTTGGAACAGGTAATAACTGAGGAGGGCTGGAGTGGCCTGAGGTGAGGAGATGACCTGGTCTCTTTGCTTAATCCTCCTTTTCTGTTGCCCAGATATTCTCCATAAAGATGGCATCATCAACAGGAAGATCCTCGGCAGCCGGGTGTTTGGGAACAAGGTAAACACACACTTCTCCAAGGGCTTCTCAGCCACTAGATCCATGGGTTGGGATCCAGTGGACCTCCCTGGTCCAGTTCAGAATGCCAGTGTCTGCTCAACTATTCATGACTCCCACCTTCCAGGCTGGCTCCATCTTTCAAGAAGGGTAACCTTTGCCCCCTCCCTCTATGCTCTTCCCCAGAAGCAGCTGAAGATACTCACAGACATTATGTGGCCAGTTATCGCAAAGCTGGCCCGAGAGGAGCTGGATCTCGCTGTGGCTAAGGGTGAGTGGGAGGCATGATGGGAGCAAAGGGGGAGAGTTAAGCAGATTCCCTCCTGGGAGCTTCCCTTCCCCGGGCTGGACTGTTCACTCTACCTGGGGTTGTTTTGTGGGCTTTCTGACTGGTAAAGTGTCAGGGTACTACTGTGATTGGGGTCTCCCCGCAGGAAAGAATGTGTGTGTGATTGATGCTGCCATGTTGCTTGAAGCCGGCTGGCAGAACATGGTACATGAGGTGTGGACCGTTGTCATCCCTGAGACTGAGGTATCTGGACCCCACCTCACCCCATGCCCCCCACAGATGGTATTCTGCTTTGATCCAGTGGGCTGAACTGGGATCATCCCTGACCAATGCCTGTCTGTGCTCAGGCTGTACGACGCATTGTAGAGAGGGATGGCCTCAGTGAAGCTGCTGCTCGAAGCAGGCTGCAAAGCCAGATGAGTGGGCAGCAGTTAGTGGACCAGAGCCACGTGGTACTGAGCACTTTGTGCGAGCCACATATCACCCAAGGCCAGGTTGGTGCCTAGGTAAAGGCTGGGTTGTGGGAAGCAAATATCTAGTGGTTGCCTGACTCTGTCCTTTCTTCCTTCCAACATTCTGAACTGCCCAAAGGTGGAAAAAGCCTGGAATCTTCTGCAGAAGCGCATCCCTAAGACTCATCAAGCCCAGCCCTGACAATAAGTTCTCTGTGGGGTCAGACTAGCCCCTGGAGCTGACAGATGCAGTGGAGAGGAGGAGAGGGAGCTGTAATACTCACACTGTGTCAGGCCTAGAGGGCTTCAGGCTAAGCTGTGCAGGACATGGCTGGGCCTAGTAAACGCAGGATGCCTACCTGGCATCCCGGTATTAGACCAACAGTGAGAACGTGGCTTATGGGGAAGCAGGCCCCTCTGGGTTTCATCCCATTCTTGCCCATGAGGTGTTTGATGCTCACTGCTGACTGGGGTCAGGGCAAACACTGGAACATGTAACAGAATTAAAAGTGAGTGTTTCCATGTGCTGCCTGAATAGTGTCTGCTTTCTGGTCCTGTGCCTCCAAGTATCATTGGATTCTTATGTCACAAGTTCAGGGCCCAGACTTGAACCAGAAGCCAGGGAGTGCTATGGCTAAGTGCATGGCCCATGGCCTCTGAAACTAGCCAGGCTTAAGTTGGCCTTGGACCTACCTACCATTGACTAGCTGTGTGATTTTGAGTAAGTTATAGACTTTCTAGATATACCTGTTTCCTTACGTATAAAGCAGCGTAACTTAACAGGCTTTTTGACAGCGTTGTTTAATTCAAGTGCCCTGCCAGATACCGGCCAGGGTGTTGGAAGATCACTGCTAGGGGTAGTGGCTCTGTCCTCACAGAGCTTACAGCCTGGTGGGATCAGATGATGGGACAGGGTATCACTGCCCAGTTACTGATGGACCACAGTCCTAACCGTGCGCATGTGCACACAACCCAACACTTAAGAAGTTTTGTGTGTATTGTTGGAAGTGGATTGCAGCTTCTCCTGCATGCTAAGCATAGGTTTTACCACTGAGCTCCATACACCCTTAGGCCTTCACACAAGTCTTTTGATGGGATCCCATTTCACAGAAGGTGCCATATGTCACTGCCACTCTACAGACTAACTAACCCGGAGGAGGGTAGGGACCTGCAAGGAATAAACTCCCGATGTTGCTAGCCCTAGAGCCAACGCTAGGCTGAGCTGACTCGGGCAGGTAGTTAAGGTCCTCGGCCACGCATGCGCAGCACTCTTGTCCCGCCCTCCTGCCCGGGGGCGCGGACTGGTGGATTCAGATCACGTGGGCACGCCTCGCCTCTTCCTCGCTGCAGGGGGTCCTCCCGCTGGCTTGTTTCCGGTTCTGCAGGTTCACGATGACCGAGCCCGGCGCCTCTCCGGAGGACCCCTGGGTCAAGGCAAGCCCCGTGGGCGCGCACGCCGTCTGGGGAAGGGCGGGTCGGGCTCGTGCACGTAGAGGGTCAGGAAGAAAAGGGACTTCCCTCCTGTGCCTAAAGTCTCCCCTGCTCTGCCGGCCCCAGGGCTGCAGAGAAGAAAGCTCTCACCCTGCTTGTGCCAAGGGTAGGGAGACAAACGAGGTGTGTGGGCGCTAGTGTGAGGGAACATGGTGGGGCTGGGAAGGTGGAGTGGGGGCGGGAGGGATCACGCAGAGGGGCGGTGTTCCTAAGGCCTATCCCAGCTTGCTTTCGCGGGGGGGGGAACCATCCAGCCGTCGGTGCACCGCCGTGTGTGCGTGTGCCTTCTCCTAGAGGCAAACTCCTGACAGGCTTCTCCCCTGCTTGGTGCCGCAGGTGGAGTATACCTACAGTGACAACAGCCTGGATCCTGGTGAGTGTCTCCCTCACCGTCTTCAAATCTGGAATGATACTCCCTTTCAGCTCTAGATTCTCGTGGCTTTGCCTGCCACACCTGAGCACAGTCCACTGTCCCTGAACCAAGGTCCTGGCTTCAGAAGTGAGGGAGGAGCTGGAGGATGGGCAGAAAGCAACCAAGGGTGACACCTGGTTGTCTGCTCTGGAGCAGGGAAGTGATGGAAATAGTTGCAGCTGGTCATTCACGCTCATAACGCCCAGATGCCCCTTTGTGGACCAGGCAGTGTGACTGTAAGCCTGTTACACAGTGTAGACACTGGGGATGAGAATATTGCATGGTACGGCAGGAAGTGGGTGGCCCAGTGTGACTGGCTTTGGGGCTGAAAGGAGAGGTTAGTGTTTTGAGGAAGCCATCGTGCCCACAGGTATATCTCAGGGCCTGGCAATGTTCCCCACTCCTCTCTTTTACAGGGCTTTTTGTAGAAAGCACCCGCAAGGGGAGTGTAGTGTCCAGAGCTAATAGCATCGGTTCCACCAGTGCCTCTTCCGTCCCCAATACAGGTAGGCAGCAACATAACACTCATCTCCCTCCCACCAGGGAGGACTCAGCTATGCCATCATTTTAGTATCTTTGCCAGACAGGGAAGCTCCACCAATCCAAATGGGTTACTGGAACAGGAGTACCAAACACAGGTTCTCACCTCTTTCACCTCATCCAGGGAATTAGGTTCTTCTGTCCACCCATCATCTCTGGGCACTAAGTTCTCAGCTAGGGAATGGTGGGCTAGCTGGACCCCAACTGGGCCCAAAGGTGACTTTCTCCCTGCCCCCAACTCTGAGTGTAGATGACGAGGACAGTGACTACCACCAGGAGTCCTACAAGGAGTCCTACAAAGACCGGTGGCGGCGAGCACACACTCAGGCAGAGCAGAAGAGGAGGGATGCCATCAAGGTGACTGGGGGACCTGTGCCTCAGCCAGCAAGGGAGGACCCTGCATGTTTCAGACACATTGTGCCCTGACCCCTCAGACAGTTCCAAACAGCTTTGGGGGAAAGCTAAGGGAGTCCCTGAGCAAAAACATCTCCCTCCTGGAACTGTTGTCATGGAGGAAAAACTTTTTTGCCAGCTTGCCTTAACCACCCCCCAGGATTAAGGAATCTATTTTCCCTACTGTCTCCACAGAGAGGCTATGATGACCTTCAAACCATCGTCCCCACCTGCCAGCAGCAGGACTTCTCCATTGGCTCCCAAAAGCTCAGCAAAGCCATCGTTCTACAGAAGAGTATGGCCAGGGAGAGCGCTGGTGGTAGTGGTGCAGGGGGCAGGCAACAGGACCTGTAAAGAGGCCAGCGACACATACCTGGTCTGGGCCTGGTGGCAGTGGCTTTAATGGGAAAGTTGAGTTAGTGGGGGAAGGGGAAACAAAGTCAGCCTTGTCCTCCAGGTTGAGACTTCCTCTTTATTCACTCCCTTTCTCTGCCCCCACCCCAGCCATTGATTACATCCAGTTTTTGCACAAGGAGAAGAAAAAGCAGGAGGAGGAGGTGTCCACACTACGAAAGGATGTCACGGCTCTAAAGATAATGAAAGTGTAAGAGGAGTGTTGGACTGGGGAAATCAGGGTTTCTTAGGGGACTCTGAGGCTGACTTCAGTGCACACCTTCCCTTTTGAAGGCCACGTGAGATAATACATATAAATAATACTCTTACTCTCTGAGCTACACTGCAAGGCAGGCCTTCTGTCCCCAGTAGCCCCTTAATACATAGCATACACTCAGGAAATAAATGCATAATAGATTAATGCAGGGAAGGCTGCAGGGAGAGTCACCACTTCTGACTTAAAAGCAGACAAGCTGATGTTGAGTACATTCCCACAGCTCCCTGGGACTTCCTTTTGGTTGCGGGGTGGGGGGGGGTGGAGGGGGGGAGTTAAACAGGATGACCCCTCCATTCTTTCTGGGCTGGTTAGGCTACTGCAGCTGTGCTCTGCCTGCATGCTTTCAGGAACTATGAGCAGATTGTGAAGGCACACCAGGACAACCCCCACGAAGGGAAGGACCAGGTCTCTGACCAGGTCAAGTTCAACGTGTTTCAAGGCATCATGGACTCCCTGTTCCAGTCTTTCAATGCCTCCATCTCTGTGGCCAGCTTCCAGGAGCTGTCAGCTTGTGTCTTCAGCTGGATTGAGGAGCACTGTAAGCCTCAGGTATGGGGCAGTAATGATCACAGGGCCTAATGTTCTCTTGGTACTGTCAGGTAAAGTGGCTCAAGCCATGATTCTTCAGAAAAGCAGAGTAGCTGCTGTTAGAATTTCTTGAGAGTATCTACAACTTTTAGTATTCTTCTGTTTCCTTCTTTGCTGACTGGCCTAGGATTTCATGTTAAGGTCTCATCTGGCAATTAAGGTGTCATACTCAATGCCAGGCCTGATTTCAGCTTGTTTAGCCCAGAGTATTGCTGCCTTATTAACCACTCCTCTGCTGCCCTGTGTGGAAGGTCCAGGCACCAGTAGCAGTTACTTGAGAGTTTTTGGAAATATGCAGATTCCAGGACCCCATCTCTTAGGCCCACTACAGTTGCCACAATGGTTTTTTTTTAGTATTTACTTATAACAGAAAGATATGCTAATGGTATTGCACTGTATTGTGCTTTTGAGGCCTAACTATTTTTTCTCAGGCTTGAACCTGTATCTGAGATTTCTACTTTCTCACTTGATTCCTAACAGTTGATTCAAACATAGTATAACACTGAGGGGATTTTACAGTGAACATTCATACCTACCACCTAAAGTCTACCAGTAAGATTTTATTGTATTTTCTTTGTTATGCATTTGTCTCTCCTTCCTGTATAAGGGGTATTTCAAAGTAAACTATAGACATCAGTGCTTCACAGGGCTTTTTCTCTTTTTTTTTTTTTTGGGATAAGAGTCTCACTACATAGCCCAGACTGACCTCAGATTTGCAATTTTTTTTTTTTTTTGGTGGGACTGGGTTTTCAGGGCTTCATACTTGCAAAGCAGGTACTCTGCCACTTGAACCACACCTCCAGTCCACTCTGGTTATTTGGGGGGTCTCACAAACTATTTGCCCATGATGGCCTCGAGCCACCATCCTCCTGATCTCAGCCTCCCACGTAGGTAGGATTATAAGCGTGACCCACTAGTGCCCAGCCTTGGGGGCCTTACCCCCCCCCCATACTGGGGCTTGAACACAGGGCCTACACCTTGAACCACTCCGCCAGTCCTTTTCTGTGAAGGTTTTTTTTGAGATAAGGTCTCATGAATTATTTACCCAGGCTGGCTCTGAACCACGATCCTCCTGTTTTCTGCCTTCTGAGTAGCTAGGATTACAGGTATGAGCCACCAGTGCCCAGCTAGGGGACTATTTTAAATGTACATTTTTAAAGAGCATGGCCTTTCTAGGTAGGTATCTCAAAGGGTGTGCAGTCACCTGAATGTTGTTTCCCTGCCACCCCCACCAGACCCTACGAGAGATCGTGATTGGGGTCCTGCATCAGTTGAAAAACCAGCTGTACTGATGGTTCCTGGAAACCTGCAGAGCAGCTAACAAGAGGCTTTTGAGTCTACTATTTGACCATGGACCTGCCGGGCCTATAAGACTGGACTGCAACACCTCACACCGATCAGCTGGTTTTCTACTTGGTGTTTGGTTTTCCTAGCCCCACTTCATTTTCAGTGGGACTGGGAGTGTTTGTTTTGTGAAAGCTTCTGATTAATTTATTATATTGACAACAAAGTCAACCCTACCCAGTCTTCTTCCCCTTCCCAACAGAAGTCCTCAGGACAGGAGTCTTTTCTGGGTACCCCCCAAGAGCTCCTGGCCTCTCAGCCCTTTCTCTACACCTTGGGTTTTTGCTCATGATCTATATATATTTGGAAACTATTTGCCTCTGTTTTGGTCTCTGGGCAACATCTGGCTCAAGTTTGGACATTTTGGCAATAGTTGGGTGGGAGAAAAGGAGTGGGAGGAAATAGACCCACAGTCATACAGGATGAAAGACCACTTGTGCCTAGATTAGGGCTGTCTGGCCAGAATGAAGTAAGGCTAGGGCTTTTTGGCCAGCTCAGGGCAGGTATACTAGGTTCCTACTGTAACCTCATGTTCTATCACCTCCTTCCTCCTTGCCATGGGTATTAACGGTAAGCAACTTCCCTGTCTACTTTTGCCCTGTTCCCACAGGCAGTAGCACTGCATGGCAAAGGCAGGTGTGACATAGCACTACATAATTGAAATTTTTTATTTTTCTAAACACCAACAATGCAGTTTTGCTACATTTACAATTTTGGGAAATTAGCTGGTCCTCAAAACCACCCCATCCTTTCTGTTCAGGATACCTGGGTCTCTACCATTTCCCAGTGGTACCTGCATTTCTCCCAGGACTTAGGGGTGGGGCAAAAAGGTACAGAAGATACTCAGAAAGTCTCCTGGCATTAGTCTTGGGTGATGTCTTGGGCTTCTTAAATACTAATACATAGTACCCACTCTACCTCCCAAGCTTCCTGCTACCTTACTCAGGTTTGCTATCTGGGAGGTTTGAATATCCAGAGGAAATTAAATATTTTTATATCAAATTATTACAATAAATATTGCCAAATGCTTTCCTTTGGAACTGTTCCAAGTCCTTGTGTTCAGCTCAAGCCACTGCATTGTGGACAACAAAATGGGCATGACCATCCCTTTCTAGACACTAGCAGTGAATCCCTCCCTCCACCCAATATTCTGACCCATGCCTCTCTTCTTTCTGCTATGGGCTCAAGCATGGAAAGCAGCAAGACCAATGGAAAAAAAAAAAAAAAAGTAGCCAGGGCATCTCTGCTCCAATCTCCTAATTCCTACCAAGAGCCCCTCAGGGGTCTGGGAGTGTGACATTATAATCTTCATCCGTCTCTATCCCAGCTTCCTCCTGTGTGGCAGGGAGAGAAGTCAATGAGACATACCAGGGCAAAAACCCCGGGGAAAAAAAGAGAGTGCCACTTACAAAGAACTGCTTCTTGCTCTTGGGGTATCCTTCAAGGATTGCATCACACATCTCTTGTGCCTGGCAAGAAACAAAGCCACCCCTTTTCAGATGCATAGTACCGTGCATTGCCAGCTCATGATATTCAGCAGCAGTTTCTCTAGTTGCTGCCACTTCTAAAAGCACTTCCAGAGCTAAACCCTTGGAGCACTCACTCACCATCCTCTTCCGCTTCCTCCACTCCTTACAGTATTTCTGCCTCTCTCTGTATACCTACAAGAAAGAAGTTCCTTTAAGCCCCTTAGGCTCACAGCAGCCTGCTGGAGGTTGACCTTCACATTCACTCCATACCTGCACAGGAAGTCTTCAGCTTCTAACCTCTCTCCCAACTCACCTGCTCCTTCTCTTCTGGAGTGACGTGATTACTGGCTGCTTTGATGTTCTTCAGTCTCTCAGTGTAGCCAGCACATTCCTTCTTTAACTCCTGGATCTCTTTCTGCATCTCCGGAGTGGTCAGGGTACTAGTTAACTCCTTCAGCTCTGAAACCACATCCCCTGGGGTCACTTGCTATCCCTGAGGAAGAGCTCTGTCTTATCCCAGCAGGTGCTTCTTGAGGTGGGAGCACATCTTGCCCTGGTTATCTACCCAGAGTAGGATCCCACATTCTGGAGATGTTTGAGAAAATAAGACTTACAGAATAACAAGTTTATCTTTCCTCCATCTACAAGCAGTGATAGGGTGTGGGGAGTGAGGCTGAGCAGACTGGTGTGGAGCCAGTTAAAGACGTAGGAATAGGGCTGGAGATGTGGCTCAAGTGGTAGAGCACCTGACTTGCAAGTGCATGGCCCTGAGTTCAAACTCTAGTACCACAACATCACCAACAAAAAAAGGAAAAAAAGAAAAAGGCAGGCACTACAGTGGCTCATGCCTGCAATCCTAGCTACTTGGGAGGTAGAGATCAGGAGGAATGTGGTTTGAGGCCACCCCAGGCCTCCCCCCAAAAAGTGAGAAGACCCTATCTCAAAAATACCCAATACATAAAAGGGCTGGCAAAGTGAATCAAGTGGTAGAGTACCTGCTTGGCAAGCACGAGGCTCTCAGTCCAAACCCCAGTACTGCCAAAAAACAGGGGTGGGAATAAGGGGAAACATGGGGACAGTGTTCATGGCAAGAAAGCAAATGCATATCTTGCTCGTTTGTACACATAAGCCATTTTGCATTTCTCTCTTTTTTAGCACTTCTGGGGCTTGAACTAAGGGCCTCCACTTGAGACACTCTGCCAGCCCTTTTTGTACGTTTTTTTTTTTTTTTTATTGTTTGTTCATTTATTCTTATGTGTATACGTTATTTGGGCCATCTCTCCCCCCTCCTTTGTGTATGTTGTTTTTTGCATTTGTTACTGTTTCAGGCCAATGCTGCCTGGACCACAATCCTATTTGTGTTTTCCTGTGTAGGTAGGATGACAGGTATGTGCCACCATACCCCAGCCATTGGTTGAAATGGTGTCTTACAAACTTTTTGCCCAGGCTGGCCTGAAACAGCAATCTTCCCAAGCTCCACTTCTTAGGTAGCTAGGATTATAAGCCTGAGCTACCACTCGCAGCCTGCATTTCCTTTAACGTAATGCCTAAGGCAGCCCAGCAAAGGGATCTTAGCTGCAACAAGATGCTGCACCAATGGGTCACCCATTCACTTAAGTGATTTCTGACCTCCAGATTCAATCTGAACCCATGGGCACCTTGCAGGACCTACCAGTCTCCATATGGCGGCAGCTCTGCTGCAAGCTCTGCACCTTAGCAGTGAGGGCCACTATGTTGGCATCCAGGCTTTGGAGGTCAGCATCACTCACTATGTCAAACTGGTCCTGCCAGAGAAGAGAAATATAAGTGAGTTAATGTAAGGCACAAGGACTGAAACATACTTCAGAATGTTGTTCATACTGAAGAACTTTTCTTTAGTACTTTTCTTTAGTTTTGAGACAGGTCTTGCTAGGTAGCTAAGGCTGGCTTTGAACACATGATCTTCCTGCTAGGATTAGCAGCATGTGCTGCCAGGCCCAGCTAGAAAAGTACTTTTGAGAAAATATTCAGTTGAATTCTAGTCCCAATGAAAAAGGTATAAAGGTTGAAATCTGATGCCTGTTCTTCAAGAGCTTCAGGATGGCAGTATACAGACAAGGGCAGAAGTATCTTTCCGCACCAGTGATAAGACCACTCACAGGGCTTAAAGGAACAATAGTATTTTCCCTAAGCTGGGGAAACCTAGATCATGGAATAGGTAATAGGGACAATAGCAAGCAATAGGAAGAACCTCACGGGTATAGACCCGATGGAACCTATGTAGGTAAGGGATTCCTATGAAAATTTAAGCAACTTCTCTCTGAGAGTGTTGCTAGAAAAAAAAGCACTAAGAATCAGAGAGTCACAACTGGTGATGGTCAGCAGGTTAGAAAGGATGGGGCTGCTACTTTGGGTAGTATGGACCCTCTACTTAGGCAGGGTGAACCTTTATTTTTTGGTGGGACTGGGGTTGGAACTTGGCTTCATGCTTACAAAGTAGGCACTCTACCACTTAAGCCACACCTTCAGTCCATTTTCTCTGGTTGTTTTGGAGATGGGAGTCTCTCCATCTATTTTGCCCTAACTGGCCTCCCAATCTTGGCCTCCCAAGTAGCTAGGATTACAGATGTGAGCCCCTGGTGCCTGGCAAGGTGAACCTTTAGAACAGAGACCAGAAAATATTCCACAAACCAAATCCTGCATTTTTTTTTTTGGTGGGGCGGGGGGAATCAGTACTGGGGTTTTGAACTCAGGGCCTCATGCTTACTAGACAGGTGCTCTACCACTTTGTGTCACTCTGCCAACCACAACCTCCCCCCACTTTTTTTTTTTTTTTTTTGCATGTGTTGGGTATAGGGTCTCACAAACTATTTGCCCGGTCTGGCTTCAAACTACTATCCTCCTGATCTTGGCCTCCCAAGTAGCTAGGATTATAGGCATGAATGGGTCATTGGCACCTGGCTACAATTTTGAAAATAAAATTTTAGTCGTGCCCATTCATTTATATGGTCTATGACTGCTTTTGCTCTACTCCGGCAGAGTTCAGTAGTGACTAGAGACCACAAAAATCTAAAAATACTGTGAAGCTCTTTATACAAAAAGCTTGCTAACCCTTCCTTTAGGAGATTTTCAATAGGTAGTAATATAATGTTATTTTTAAAAAAATTAGCCTGTCCAGGTGCCGGTGTCTAATCCTAGCTACTCAGAAGGCAGAAATCAGATCAGGAGAATTATGAATCGAAGCCAGCCCGGGCAAATAGTTTGTAACCATATCTCAAAAAATACCCATCACAAAAAAGGGCAAGGGTAAGAGTGCCTGCCTAGCAAGCATGAGGCCCTGAGTTCAAGTCCCAGTGCCTCCCACTCACAAAAAAATTAGCCTTGAAGGTAGTCTGTTTCAATGAAACACATAGGGGTGCTAAGTAAATGAAAAAGAAAAACAGAGGAGCCTGAAAAAGTGGCAGACCATTCAGGAACAATTTCTGGAGGTTATGCCTGAGTGAAATCCAAAAGGATAAGTAAGAGCTGAGCAGAGGCAGAAGGAATTAAAAGTCCAGGTAGGAGGACTTGCATTCAAGGATGGAGAAATAAGGGCAGGAGAGGCCTGCCTTTTACCTGTTCTATGGAGCACATGGGAGCCATCAGAGTTTTAAGTAGGGAAGGTGTATGACCAGATTTGAATTTAGATAGATCATTCTGGCTGCAAACTTCAAGACAGGTTTAAGATGAGATGTTAGGAGGTCACTGTAATAGTCAAGAGTGCATGACAGCAGATAGAAAGGAGAGAGTGAATCCAAGGAGAGGTGATGCTGGTGGAGTGGCTCAAGTGGTAAAGTACCTGCCTAGCAAGAATGAGGCCCTGAGTTCAAACCCCAGTATCACCAAAAATAAAGTGAAGAGAGGTGATACACACCTCTAATCCCAGCAACTGGGAGGCTGAGGCAGGAAGATTCCCTATTTGAAGCTAGCCTGGGCCACACAGCAAGACCACATCTCAAAAAAAAAAAAAAAAATCTGTATTTGACTGCTATTGGTGTCTGAGATGTCCAGGGGAAGTCTGGAAAATACAAATGTGGTATGTGAGTTTAGGGAAGAAAGTGGAGGGAGAAGGAAAATCATTTGGCAGGTTTATACAGAAATGGGTCTTGGTAGTAACAATTCAGGATCTTGTCATCCATGTGTCATATTTTTTTTTTTTGAAAGTTTTAGCAAGGATTTATTTTAGTATAACAGGATAAAGTATAGACAAGGGGAGGGGGAGAGAAAAAGAGAAACATTTTCTGCCCTCATGCATGTAGGAAATGGGGGCAAAGACTCCTCATCTGTCATATTTCAAATCTGGAGACCTCATGAAATTTGGACCACAGAAGGGGATGTCTGAGGCCCTTTTAGTGGCGTGCGATAGGTTAGTTTCATGAGGTACCTCAACTGTCTAGGAGTTGATTCACTCAATGTTGGGCTCTCACATGGGTGTTATTCTCACCTGATCGGCAAAATAGATCTTCTGCTTGCCGTACATCTTCTCTTTGATCTTGCCTTGTTGGGCCAGCTGCTCCAACGCCTTGACCACCGCCTGACAGAGAGTGGGACAATCAGAGGAATCTTTGGGCCTGGGCAGGGGAGAGACTTCACAGTGACGGGGAAAACGCCGAAGTCTCGGGAGGGCAGGACCCCAGCCTGATTAGCGTGTCCTGCGCACGCGGAGAGGGAATCACAAAAGAGGGTTCTCACTGCCTTGCCCAGTCCATGTTCCCTCTGCAGGTTCCCGAACACGTCCTGGGCGCTGTAGGGCCGGTTCTGCTCCTGCAGGTACCTCAGGAGGATCCCAGGGGCTGCGGAGGGAGACAAGGCGGGAGAGAGACGCACTCAACCGGCCTCCCCACTCGCTCCCCTCCCGTGTCCTGCGGGCGCCCGGTTACCTCCCGCGGCTCCTTTACCTCCGGCCGCCGCTTCCGCCCGGCTTTTACTCATGTCTCTCCCGGCTAAATTCAGATAGCCGGAAGTGGGGGTTGCTCTGGGGAACGGCTCCTTCCGGCAGCGGAGAGGGGGACCTCAGGCAGTGATTGGCCTTCCGGAAGATCGCCGCGGCCCCTCGCGGACGCCGTAGTTCTATTCGGCCTGAAGCTTGCGCCTCCCGGCCTTATTCCCAAGCCCTGGGTGGGAGCTGAGACAACCGCAGCCGCCCAGCCGCCCAGGCTCCCGCCCCGGAACGTGGGCTGTAGTAAGCAGCGACCTCCAAGCTTGAGACTCAGTTCCAGCAGCAGCTGAGCGACCGTGACCTTGATCTAAGTCCAGTGTTGGAACGGGAAGAAATTTCGGGGATCTACTCCCGTGCTGGCAAGGGACTACTAACTCAAGGGACAGTGCTAACTACTCTGAGGAACGTGTCCTGAACCCATCTTCCAGTGCTCTTCCTTCGGTTAGTTTTATCACGCGTAAAGTAGGACCAATGGGTATTTGCCTGCGGGTGGTTATGAAAACCTAACGAGCGCCAACACAACCCTTATTTGCCCGTTACCGAGCTTCGCACACAGGGGGCGCTCGACACCTACTGTGCTTTGAACCCGAGGAAAGGACAATTGGGGGAGGCGCGGCGCGGCGCGCGCGAGGGGTGCAAGGGGGAAGGTATTCAAGCCACAAAGCTTGTAGAAGACTCTTGTTAGCTCAGGCACTCTCGAGACTCTCAACACCTGGCAGGTGCTTTCCACTCCTGACCACAGTGGCCAGTGGGACAGAGCCTGAAATAAGTATTTTTAGTTTCTGAGGTCAGCTGAAGGCCGAAGAGCAGTTGCCTTGCGGATCGAAAAACCCAATGGAAGAGCATGGTACTTTTTTAGACTTCTATCTAAAACCTCTGAAACAAGTGCTTGTGTCTACGTGTTTAGCGGACAATATTAAGAATAAGAAATAATGGGACTGCAGGTTAAATACCAGCCAAGAGTGCCAGTTGCACTTGCGACTGGGCTCCAGGAGGGGAAGTGCCCTCATACTGCGGTAATTCTGATCACAAAGAAAAATGGGGGGGGGGGCCTGGAGGAATGGCTCAGGTGGTAAGAGTGCCTGCCTAGCAAGCTGGAGGCCCGGAGTTTAAACCCCAGTACCACCAAAAAAAAAAAAAAAAAAAAAAAGTGGGTCCCTTACACCTGTGCTTCCTCTTCTGAGGCTCTTGTCCCCTCAAATTAATCATTATTAAGGTTACCAACGAAAGACCTATCAAGGGAGGACACCATTCAATATCAATTTCTTAAAGATTTATTCCCCAACTCCCACCCACTCACCCCTAATTCACAGTGGAGGATTAAGGAGATTCAGAGCAAGATCCCCCAGGCACAACAAAGACCTTGCAAAGATTTTGCTCTTCTACCTTCCCTCCCTCTTGCCAACTCCCAAGACTTGAAGCTACACACACTCATGCAAACACACAAAATCCCACTCCTTTCCCTCACCTCCCATTTTTTTTTCCGTATCAGAGCTCACCTGTTACACATTTAGGCTATAAGAAGAGAGATGTCATCCTAAGTCTGTTTGAGAACTCTAAAGGGGAGAGATGCCATTTCCCCTTAACCTTCATACTCGATTAAGTGACTATGAAATCAGGCACTGAGATCTTCCCCTTCTTACTGTTTATCTCCACTCCCTAATCTCTGAACTTTGCCCATCAAGTAAGATCAAACATGTTTGTACATCCCCACCTGCAGCACATGAAAATGGGCTCTGTCCAAAACCCCTCACCCACGTATGGGGGTGCTTGGGGAGTGGTCCCTGAGGATCAGCAAAGGGTTAATGGAAGAGGGAAGAGAGGATAGAAGAGTTTGGCTTGAGCTCTGATTGGAGAGGCCGAGAGAGGCAGTAGGGCTAACACAGGTTTAGAATCAATGATCATTTCTGGGTTTTTTGTTTCACGATTTTACTGGGGCTGGCAGAACACATTACCCCTCAGACAGATCTCTGCTGATTGTAGACACATTCTTGCTAACTGGGCTCCTCCTTAAAGGCAGCCCTGCCAAATTGGGAAGCAGTTGTAAATAAAAGCAGTACAGGAGCTGAAAAGGCAGTAAGAACAGCTGGTGCAAAAAGGAGCTGGTGGCTTCTGGGATGAATGCCACAAAGCCATTTGTAAAGTGCTACTTTGCCATCCCCCATGGAATTATTGCTTCTCCAAAGGAGGAGCAAGGGAAAAAACAGGTACATAAAAATGGGTATGGTATTGCTTTGCTCACTGCTCAGGCCAATGGACAAATGGAGCTAGGGGTTGGCAGCACCAAAGACAACCACACAGCTCCAAAAGATTCAGTGAGAGCTTAAGATCCAGAGACACTAACCCTCCTAGCCAGCTGACCCCTATGGCTCAAGGTGATGTAGAAGAGGCCCATCTCCACATCATTTTCACATTTCTTAAATTTCACATGCAGTATTTTGGAACACCGAGGGTCAGCCCTAAAGAAATGAAGATGGGCTAGGTGAGAGGGCACAGGCTTGCTCTGCAGAGCCAAAGGACAAGCTTATTTGTTTAAAAAAAAAAATCATGGTTTAACAAAAGAAGATGACAACTCTTGCAGCTGCTGCCTGACTTTCTGGACTCCAGGAAGGTAAAGGGAGGAAAGAAGGGATGGGCTTGTCTTTCAGTGAGGGCCCTGAGCACCCAGACCTAAAAGTAAACAGCAGCACCTCCAAAGGGGAATCAATATCCCTGACTACTTTGTTACCCAAAGTACCATCCTGGTGGAGAGAAGCTTCCCTTAGGGGAGCACATTCTCATTTCAGTGACTAAGCAGAGAAAAGGGTGTCCAGCTGGCAGCAGGGAAATGAGTGTCCTCTCTTAAGCAAGCCTCTGAGCATCAGATAGGCCAGCCAGCTACAAACATAACTGAAGGGATGGAACCTGGCTTCCTTTGCCCGGTCCTTAAGTGGATGAGGAGGAAGAAAAAAAAACCTAAACCGCAGTGATCCCCCCAAAAAGTGTCTGTCTTCTCAGTGGCTCCTGGAACTAGTAGGGTCCAGCTGATTCAGCTCTGACTGGTCCAGAAGTTCAAAGTCATCTCCCTCAGCATCAGTGTCCAGGTCTGAACTAGGAGCCCGGAGGAAGCCTCTTGTTCTCCGGGGTGGTGGGCCAGAAGGGCCTGCCTGGGAGGCCTCTGACAAGGCCAGCTGGATCATACCCTGGGAGACCAGGCTGGCAAGGTTGCTGGTGAGGTTGGATCCTACAGGAAGGGCACCAAGCAGGAGCTCTGGCAGTGCAGCCTCATCCCGGCTGGCAGGGGGTGCCTGGGGATCTTCAGCCCCTGGTGGGGAACGGTACATCAAGTTGGGCATCCCTATGCTGGTATCATCCTCATCGTCCAGGCCAGCAGGATCCACATTAATGGAAGGGAAGTCCGGAAGGTCTCTGGCAAATGATTCCTCTGGATCACTGTGACCATCTAAGTCTGACAGAACAGACAGGCATGTAAGACATGGGAAGTACCTGTCCTCCTATGTCCCAGACCCATAAAAAGTCAATCCCACATAGCCGGATTTTTCATGCCCTGCATTTCTCAGGATGAAGCAAAACCCAAGGGACTGGTTAGCATTTTCCCCTCTACTCATAGATGGTTATGAACTATACTGGTCAGAGAACTCACTGCTCATCTTCCTGTACTATGTCTGAAGGCTTCAAGAACAGCACAGCTGGGCGCTGATGGCCCATGCCTATAATCCTAGTTACTTGGGAGGCTGAGATTGGGAGGATCACAGTTCAAGGCCAGCCTGGACAAATAGTTCATGAGACTCCATTTCCAAAAAATAACCAGAGTAAAATAGACTGGAGGACTGGCTCAAGTGATACAGAGTGTCTACTTTGCAAGTGTGAAGCCCTCAGTTCAAACCCCAGACTCACACAAAAAAAAGAAGTAATATCTTGACAGTAGCCACACTCCCCCCTCCCAGGCTGCTCTGCTACCTGAACCACAGCTCAGATTAGGAAAAGGGAGGGTACCAGTATCCTCTCTGTCTATCCTCCAGGGAGGCTGACAGGAAACAAAACCACTGTCAACTCAGATCAGAGGTCAGAGGTTCCCCTCACCTTCAGAACCTTCTGTTAGAGGTGTTTGGCCCCTTGAAAGATTGAATGTACCATTGTCTGTACAAGAGACTTCAGCATCTGAGTGCTCCGAGTCTGTGATAGCCAATTCCCTGGCAACAGTAGAATCATCCAGCTTAGGAAAAGAAAAGACCAGTTAGTCTGAGGAGATGATGCCAGCAGCAATCAAGAGCAGTCCCTAGAGTTACAGCTTTACTAATTAGCTGACCCTAAAAGCTACCCTAAGGCCATCACTGTAATCAGGGATAGATGAAGACTTCACTTAAAATTTTGACCTCTGTTAGGCTGCTTCCCCAAAGAAAACTCTTATTCATCAATGTAAAGCATAGAAAGGAAAGCAATCTTAGATTACTCTTAAGCAAGTAACTAAGAGATTACTTTTCACAGGTGAGTAGGAAGATATGCTGCCCAGACCTAAGGATGTGCTGCTCAGACCTACAGGTCCTGTTTAAAAGATGATTCTGCCAGCTCCAGAAGTTCTTCCATGATGGTAGAGTAAAAGGAGACATGGGAGAGGGCTCAAATTGAGGTCTAAGTTCAAAGTCCCACTATAACACTAGCTTCTCTCCTTGTCACTGCTACAGGAACAAAGGGAATCTATGACCTTGGAGGGGCCCGTGATGAGACTAAATGTTAGCTGCCAGATGAATATAAGGGAGTTAAAAAAAACTGTCCAGTGAAGCAGCTCCCACATTGAAGATACCTGAGGACAGAAGGCAGCAAGCTCCTCTTCACTGTCACTGTGGTTGTCCATAGTACGTTCTGGGTGTAGAGCTCTGCGGCGCACTATATGGAAAGGGCAGAAGGCTTTGATACCTTCCTTCGAGGGCATCCCCCACGACCACCTTTTGGACTTCAACAGCATAAATCAGCACATGAGAGAAAGCGGCCCTAAGCCTACATAATACTTGAGAGTGAGGCTGCTGTGCCTAAATGGTAAGGTGAGCTCACAGCACAGGAGAGAACATCTCTCTTCCAACATCCTTCCTTCTACCAACCTGCACACCATTTCTAATCTGGTCAGATGATCCGACTACCAAGCTTCTCAACAACCGTCAGGATCAACTAGGGGCAAAAGAGGATGTTCATTTTTGTTAAATCAGGTTTTTGAGGACTGTTACTTTTCAAGTAGCTGACACAAGAGAAGTTGGGCCTTGGTGACCATGTATGGGGTTCTCTGAATGCCATGACTTAATGAAACACCCAACCTGACAAGACCAAAGAGAGGGAAAAGTTAGCACTACCATCACTAATGTGGGCAGATCTTAGCTAGTACACTTCTGGCCACTGTGGTGACCGTTTTTCATCGCCTTTGGAAGGTAGCTTCCAGTAGTGAAAAAGAGACCAGACCCAGGAGTTGGAAAGATCTGCACTGACATTTACTAACTATGAGCCTCAAATCCCTCAACTGGAAAAGGAGGATAAAACCATCTACTTCTTAATATTGTTGTACAGATTAAATAAAATGATGTATGCAAAGCAGCCATGGAAAATGCTTCATAAATAACATAATACTAGGGACATCTTCAATGTCTGCCTTTTAATCAACTTGGCAGGGTTTTTCTCAGAGTTGTTTAAAATGGGGAGAGTCTAGGATTCCAATGAGGACTAGCAAGCCTGCACAGGTCTCCCTAGAATAGCTACTGCTTTTATTTACCACCCTGTACCCCCCACTTCTCCCATTTTCAAGTCAGTATATCAGGCTTCTCTTTCTCTTCCCCAAATTGCCCAAGTGGAAGGAAGCCTCCCTATGACTCTTACATTGTCTCTCTCTCTGTTTGGACATCATGTAGCCACGGACACTGAAGTCTAGCCGCTGCAGAGCTGGCTTCAGCCACACATAGGCTCGATCCCACAGTCGATGATACACAGCAAGAGGCCACATCATGACAGTGACAACTGAGAAGAGGAGTGGGAGTAGTGGCAAAAATGAGTGGGCCCTATAAAACGATCCTAAATATTCCTCTGCTATTGTGTCCTTAGGACTTAGATTTAATGCGGAACAGTTCTGCTTAATTCTGTGGGTCACCTTCATGAGTCTCCTTACCACACAAAGGGGTTTCTGAGGGCAGGGTCTTTTGTACCCACCCTCAGGACCTATTCAGGGCTATACACAGCATAGTATGCTACTGACGGCCCAAGAGCAGAACCAGGCACCATGGACACTTGCACATAGGTGTCACCAAGCTATAAACACAACTAAATGGTAACAATGAATCAGAAACTATATAACCAATCATATGAGGTTCTGATAATAAATAGCCATAGTGGAACTGCTCAGTTCTTCCAGTCCCAATCCAAGTATGTGCCAACAAGTAACTATATTTATAAAAATATAATCCAAGGGACAGGAAAGTCCTCCACAGTAATAAAGAATCTAGTAAAGGAACCCCGCTATAGTTGGGAATATATGTTATTGGACTCACCAATTTCCAAAACCTAGTAAGAAATGAGCTTGGGTTAAGGATATACCTCAGTGACTGAATACTTGCTGAGCATGAGGCCCTGAATTTGAGCCCCAGCACCGTACACACAAAAAAAGACTTTATATGTGGAGAGTCTGTTATGGATAAGAAGGCATTTTTGTGACACTAAATAGGTCATAAAAATATGAAAGTCATTTTCTGAAGACCCAAAATACAAAAGTCTTCCCCTCAACCCCAGAATTAGTTGTAATCAGAAAGGTGATGAGCAAGGTGCAGTTTGTGAGAGGAGGTATGCCATACTTACGCATCAAGTAGGACAGGAGGAGCCCAGGGATGTAGCGACCTATGACGGCCAAAAAGGTCAGTATCCCACAGCTCAGCAAGCAGAACTATAAGAATCAAGAAGCAGTATTAAGTTTCTGCTACATTTCAAGGGATTGGGGTGGGGATGGGAGATTAATGGTGGAGATGTGACTGAAGATTCCTTATGATGAGTCAAGTACTGACATGTCAGGGTAACAGATGTAGTTACTCTTGCATCCAGTGGTGACTGTTTGGAAGAAAAAGGATGTTCTCTTCTTCAAACTCCATTTACATGCCTAACTCCATACAGTTGTACCTTTCATGCCAGGAAATTGGTATGAATAGGACTTAGCCAAAAATTCTCTCTGAAAGCAAGTGTTGGTGGTGGATTTTTTTTAAGTCAAAGAAAATGAAAACCAAAAAATAAAACCCAACAACTTACCACATGTTTAATATGATACACAATGCACACAAGCAAGCTTTCTTTCCTACCTTGGGCAAGAAAATGACCTACTCTATGGGGCTTGGGATGTACTTCAGTTGTAGAGTGCTTGCCTAGCATGCATGGGTTCAATCCCCCGCATAGGAAAAAAAAAAAGAAAATGGCCTACTTCAAGTGACAAGCACACCAAACGAAGTCATCAAGCTCTTGCCTTAACCCTAATGGCCAGTCAGAAGCCCCTTCCTACCCTACAACTTCCCTTTGCTCCTACAAATGTCATAGTCTTTTCCTCCTTGAATGAGGAGAAGGTAAAGGAGCTGTTTCAATTTAGCATGAACTGAACTGAGAGAGGCCAGAGATGAAAGTGAAAAAGGAAAGTCTTACCTTGCCTGGGTTTTGCTTTTTGAAAAGCAAAAGATTCCTTATGAAAATGGTCCCACTAACCCAGACTTCAGCTACATGCTGGCAGAGCTCGGGCACGCTGAGCAACCGAGGGTGAACAAAGCCCCAGCTACAGGAAAGAGAAGGGAAGCTGTGAAAGGAGGGTGTTGAGGGTCCCCCATCTTGTTATGTAAGCAGCTTCTGGGTTTAAACAGGGGCTGGGGAGTGGCTAGTCCCAGGTGCTTTGGAGGTGAAGCATGACTTTCTTCTTGGCTCACCAGGTTGAAACTTGAATTTAGCAACTAGGAGAGCAAACTTGTTCTGACAACTCCACCCTTTGAGCAAGCGGTCCAATCTACATGTGTAAACCTGCCACTAGCTCCAAGGTCCCTTTGTGTTTAAAAACATTTTCTTCCCTGCACTCACACCATGGCAATTCACAATGACTACAAGCCAGGGATACAAGTAAAAGCAGTCAGACTGACAGCATTCCTGCCAAGGGGAAGGCAATGGTGGATGTGCCCTTCAGGAAATAAATAAGGCAAAACCAAAATAAATCATAGCAAATTCCTTGGACCAAACATATGGGGTGTATGAACTGAGATGAAAGCAGGAGCTATAAGACACAAGAGGAATCTTTGGCATTGGCTTGCTGATGCCAGGAATCAATGTGTTTTCTGACCAGGAACTTTAAATAGGCACAGGTCACAGAAAACACTAAATGACCTGGTATAAAAGCCAGGAGACAAATAAAGTTAGTTGCCTCTAAGTTTACACATTGGGACTGAATAATGCAGCCATATCCCTGGCATGTCAGGTTATGAGGCACTGTAATTTTTTTTTTTTAATTTCTCCTTATATGGATCAGAGGACACTAACCATCCCAACATATTGCTGCCTGAACTTTGGGATTTGTTAAAATAATTATTTGGAACAGAGAAAGTGTCCAGAACATGGGGTTAACAACATATAACCAGAGTATTACAAAAGAATCAACCTGAACAACAAAAACGGATTGAATTAGTGTTCCATACCTCTCATTGTCTAATGCGTCGGGTCTTGGCACTACAATATTAAAACAAACACCAGCATTAGTTGGTAGGGAAAACTAAACACGAAAATGTTAGGCTGTTGGTCTGACAACTCAAGTTTAATAGGTTTGGAAAAAGAAAACAGTAATAGCCAATACAAAGGAGACACCAAGTTATACTGCCAGAGTTAGGGAGCTGTGGACAAGAGAATGACTTATACCTGTTCATTTCTTGAGGAAGAGGAGGGGAAAAATGGACCACTAGCGCCCTTTTAATTAACTTGGCTGAAAGCCATGGTATATAAGAAAAACGGTCCATTCCATCCCTTGAGTGTGTCTGAGCTGTTCATACATGTCAGTGTGTGCCAGGCTACTGAGGCATATTGAAACTAATCCAACCCTAGAAATCTGCCTATTCTCTCTGAACAGACACCCATTATCCATTCTGAATGATGTAAAGTCTTTTGACCTTTACTGGCCATGACAGACAGATGAACCTGATTCCTTGAAGCCTCTGTAAGAGGTGAATGTATTTTAAAACTACACTGTGATTCGGTATCCTGCCAACACTTAAACATTAACATGTCGAGAACCCCCATCAGTTTTCCTCATTTACACCCCCACCTGAACCAACTCCCTGCCTGCTTTTGCCTATATCTTCTAATTGTACATCATTCCCACTCTCCAACCTTTAAAATCCCAAAGTCACCTTTTATCCCTTGCTCTTCTAACTCCCATCCAACTACTTATCAGTCTTGATGCAACTCCTTCCTTCACAGCCCTCCAAACCATATGTCATTTGTTTTCACGGGCATCTCTCTAGCTGCTTCCCACAAAGATACTGCTACATACTCCTAACAAATCGTCCTCTTTTCCCTTTTTTGCTCCTTCCATGCCATCCTATAAAATGCTACCAAATTAGTCTTTACTATTATCTCAGCATAGAGCTCTAATGTAAAACAAACAAAACAAAACAAAACCCTTCAGTGACCACTCACTATCTACAGGATGAAGTCTAAACTTTCTAAAACTAACTTTCAAACTTTCAGGTCTTATAAAATCTAATGCCAATATACTTTCAATTTTATCTCCTAGCATTCCTTTAATGAACTCTTCATTCTCACCAAAATGCTCAATTCTCTGCACTCAGGAGATGCTTTGTAGCTGTGCTTCCTTAAACTAATCAAGCAACTGGCCTGTTTAGAAGCACATTCTTCTTTTCACTTTCCAAGTATTTTGCTTCATTCAAGGCTTGAGTTAGGACCAAAATAAATGAATCTATTAGTCACAAATTGCACTATGGCATCTCTGGTATTGTTCTATAACTGCCATTACCTTTCGTTTATGTATGTATATATTATTAATGTATCATTTTAGAGGGTACTTTCCGTAGGACACAATGTCTATCTTTGCAAATACTTTAAAAGAAATTCTTGAGAGGTAAACTGATGTTTCCTCAGTAAAGATGATTAATAAGGTTATTTATTTTTTAAAAATCTTAAGGACTACTTATTCCTCGGGCCAATAATGTTGGCAATAACATCCCAAATAGTGGATACAGATTTGCTAAGAAGGGAAAGGCAGAACCCAGTTCTAAAAACCCACAGATGGGGCACAGCCTTTGAAGTATCTCCTAAAGTAAATGACTGGACTTCAAAAGCAGTCCCAAGCTCCACTAGTTCTCAAAAAACCCAAAACTAAAGGCAAAAATCATTTTAAAAAGGCCATTTCCAGTTCAGATTATTCTAACTGCTATCAAACTCACCTTTCATCTCTGGCCAAATTTTGTTCTTCCATTGATCAATACAGACAATGATCATCAAGCCAAATGCAAGTAAAAATACAAGACGAAGTGATGTCAGCGCAAAAAACCTACAGAGAAGGGAAAACAGGTCATTAAGCAATTAAACTAATTTCAGAAGAGACCACATGTTTGCTATAGGTTCGGTTCTGTGGTAAATACACTTGAATTTTAGGTTTTTTTTTTGTGTTCCAACACATACTAGTTATATACATTGAGTACATCATTTAAACTTTCTGGATCTCAGCTATTTTACCTACAGAGATAATTTCTTTGCAGAGGACTAAATCAAATAACCTCTTAAAATCCCTTTCAACTTTCCAGTCTGTGATTCTAATAATTTCAGAGACAATTCATCCTTGATAAGATGATATGATGAAAACAAACATCTTTCTATCAAATTAGACTCCATTATAGGGCAATGAACTGACAGAGATATTAAATATAAGCATTTATTCTGGGCTTGAGGCATGGCTCAAGTGGGAGAGTACCTGCTTAGCAAGCATAAGACCCTGAGTTCAAACCTCAGTATTGTTAAAAAAAGAAAAAAGCATTTAATTCAACTAGGTATCCTATTACAGATGAAGGATAGAAAGTTAGCACTAAAACTACGTCTAAAAATTAGTTCTTCAGAATTAGCACCAATGCTTCTCAAACTCTTCTAAAAAACTGAAAAGGAAGGAGTACTTACTGATTTATTTTATGAGGCTAGCACTACCCTGATACTAAATCTAGACACAAAACTGCAGACCAATACCCCTTATAAATACAGGTGCAAAAAACCTTCAGTAAAACACAAGCAAACTGAATCAATAGCACACAGCTACTTGGGAGGCTAGGATCAAGAAGATGGAGATTGGAGGCCAGCCCAAGCAAACAGCAAGACCCCCATCTCCAAAATAACCAGAGCAAAATGGACTGGAGGTGTGGCTCAAGTGGTAGAACACCTGCTTTGCAAATGCGAAGCCCTAAGTTCAAATGCCAGTCCCAACTCCTCCTCAAAAAAGGGATATTTATAAGCAATCTGACCACAGCCAGCAAATCTGATATTAAGGAGCAAGTACTATTAGTTTTTAGGTGTGACATTAGAATAGTTATGTTTGTTTTCATTTTTTGGTGGTACTAGGGGGTTGAACTCAGGGCCTTGTGCTTGTAGGCACTCTTAACTTGAGCCACTCTGCCAGACCTGTTTTTAAACAATCACTATCTTTTACAAATAAACTTCAAAAGTATCAAAAAATATTCATAAATAAAATGAAATCTGGGATTTGCTTCAAAATAACCTTGGCAAGATAAATGGTATAAAATTATAGGGAACAAGACTGACTACTGAGTTAGTTAACTGCTCAAGCTGTGTGAAGGGGACATGAGTTTCTTTACATTATTCTTCCCACTTCCGTATATGCTTAAAATCTTTCACGATAAAATGTTAAACAAACAAATAAAACCCAGTTCTTCTGCCTTCTTCTATTTTATACACCCTAAAGCCTCTAAGGTGGCGCCTTGCAGTGTCTACTACTTAGCAGTAGCCGACAAGCAGATTGTACCAACCTGTGGGGAAATAAGTACAGAAATACAAAGTAAGCGTATAGAAATTTTTATAGAATCTGACTAAATAATTTTGAATCTAGTAATATATTTGGGCTTGTATTTTCTTTTTAAATTTAATTTCTCTAGTTATTTATATTTTTGAAAAGCATCGATTGCAACAGAATGGGGGGAAAAAAAACACTGGTCCTTCACCAAAGATGGTTTGAGAAATGCTGTTCCAAGATCTAGAGGGAAGCCAGATGCATTAGCGAAGAGGTAGTATACAGCAGGGCAGAGAGACAGCTTTTCTTTTTAATTAATTAATTAATTAATTAATTGCTTACAGCATTAAGGATTGAACACAGGTCCCTGAACTAGTTAGGCAAGCACCCTACCACTTGATTCACACCCCCTTAATTAAAAAATATTTTTTTAATAGAGTCTCAGTACGTAGCTTGAACTTGCTACGTAGTCCAAGCCAGCCTTGAACTCATGATCCTCCTGCCTCAGCCTTCCGGGTACTGGGACTGCAGCTATGTACCACCACAGTTGGCTTTTTCTTTCCTTTTTTCTTTGAGATGGGGGTCTTGCGATGCCACCCTGACTGGTCTTCAAACTCCTAAATGCAACTGATCCTCCTGCCTCAGCCTCCTGAGTGCTGGGATTACAGATGCTCACCACTATTCCCCATGAAGACACAGCTTTTAAAGTTAGACTGACCTGAGTTTGAGTCTCACCATTAGTCATGTAACCTTTAGTAAATTACCTGCCTTATCCATTATGTGATGTTAATAATAACAAATCCCAAAGAGCTGTTTGTGGGTATTAGAAACAACTCTTACAACATACTTAAATCACCTTGGCCAAAAAGCCAAGAAGAAAATACAATATGTTCTTAGCACATAGTTGTATTCAACCTTACAAATGTAGTATTGTTACTAGGTATTATTGTAGCAACTGATCAAACTAAGAGTGATTAAAAGCTGGTTATAAATGATCACTCTGGAATGACCTCAACTCAATACATGACCTAAATAAAGACTTGATATAATCACAGAACAATTCTCCTATCATCTTATAAAAGATTTAAAAACCTTGTCCAAGGCCCTGGGTTCAATCTCTGGCACCACAAAAATAAATTTGTACACAGGAATTGGCAATAAACCATTAAATTCTGTCTCCAGATAGTTTTTAACTCTTTTCAATAAAAATCAATGCATATTAGTTTTAAAACTACGTAAAAAATGAGGTATGAAAGGAAATAAGGAGAATCAGACACCTAGTCACCAATGACAACCCTATTCCAATTTTTTTCTACACTATCATTTAAAAGATACTGCAATTATACATGAGATTAACCAGTGAAAGCAGCTTAGTAAAACTAAACCTCTAGAGGTGCTCTACACCATTAATCTTCTAAAGCCAGTGCATTATCCAAACAAATAAGCAAAATTAACAAGGCCATGGATAAGGGCTCTAGAGCTTCTTGCTCCCCAGTGCTGCTGCTTCATCCCAGCAGCAGCACGTGGTACAACTGTTGTTCCCTCCAAATCACCTTAAAGTTCTCTAATGAGCAGTCCACACTGTCTGCAGTCATCCTTCCAGAGCATGATTACTAACACCAACAGAAACTGGAGTAGGGAAAGGCTACCAAACTCTCCTGGGAAGGGTGGTTTTCTGAGCATGACGGCAACAAAATTAGTGTTTCTCCAAAACCTGGACTATTTTAGTAACCTGCTCTAGTCCGCATCTTCCATTCTTCTAAACTGTGGTTCAACTCAATTGAACATTTACTGACTACTTGCCAAGACCTTGTGATAAGCAGCCCAATTACAGAAATGAGAAAGACAGGAACCTCACTCTCAAGTGGATTTATGTTTATAACCTTACAAGGCAATAATCACAAAGAGGAGGACATCTAGCTGGAATTTGAAAGATGAATGGTGAGAAAACAGTGCAAAAGGGTATAGGGAAGAACGAAAAGATATTCAGACAGGAGAACAGTGAGCTAGCAACATACACTTAAGGAGCAATTTGACAGAACTAAGAGAACAGAGGGTTGGGATCAGTATGAGAAGCAAGGCAGAAGTCAGGTCACGAAGGGCCTCTTATGACAAAGGGTACTGGGGGGGAGGTTAATCCTGAAGAGGAAGGTAAGCCAGTTTTGCAAAGGGTATATTTTCTAGGTCTTGAAGGCTAAAATTGTGAACATGTTCCCAAACATAACTAATCCTGGTTCACAGATCAATTTTTGGCCCAGGTGAATGCCTTTCTTGAACAAGCTACTAAAGGAATTTCAGAGGAAAACTAGTTTTTCTATGAGGTATAAAATAACATTTCCTGGCCAAATAGTTTCTGTCAAACAGATGGCAATTCAATGGATATCTCATACGGTGGCATAAAGTACTGGGAGGCTTAGGATTGAGTTTGAAGCCAGCCTTGGCTACACAGCAAAACCCTATTGCAAAACAGCAACACCACCAACCAAAAAACCCAAAACAACAACAACAACAAACCCACTTTGCCAGGTACTGGTGACTCACACCTGTAATCCTAGCTACTTGAGAGGCTGAAATTGGGAGGGTCAGGTTTGAGGCCAGCCAAGGCAAGTAGTTCTCAAGACCCTATCTCCAAAATAACTAGAGCAAAATGGACTGCAGGTGTGCTTCTAGTGGTAGAGTCTGCTTTGGAAGTATGAAATTCTGAGTTCAAACTCCAGTCACACACCAACACATACACACAAAAAGATCTTAATGGAAAAGACCACCTCAGAGAACTAGAATTGACTCCTTTATACTAACTAGACAATTATTATTAAGGTTCCCTCAGAGATCTGACTATCATATGGTAGTCAAATAATATGGATAAGTGTATGTTCTTCCTCTCATTCCAACCCTAAATACAAAATGCAAAAGGACTATCAAGGGCTAGGGATGTTCAATGACAGAATGTTTGTCTAGCACACACAAATCCATGGGCTTGATCCCCAGTACCACAAAAAACAAACAAAATGAGTATCAATCTCAGATTGATATGTTTGGGATATAATGAGGTCACATGTTGCTAATTTTATAGAGGTAACTTGGAAAGCCACCAGAAAAAAGTCAAGATATACTCGAAGATAAGGCACTTTTGAGATTGGAAAAGGTATAGAGATGAAAGAAAAAGAGAGAGAGAGAGAGAGAGAGAGAGAGAGAGAGGAAGAGGACTAGCTACTTGGGAGGCAGAGACTGAGGATCCTGGTTTCAGGCCAACCTGAGCAAATAGTTCCCTAGATCCCATCTCAAAAATGACCAGAGCAAAAACAGCTGGAGGTGTTGTTCAAACGGTAGAGAGCACCTGCTTTGCAAGCTCAAAGCCCTGAGTTCAAACCCCAGTCATACCAAAAAAAAAAAAAAAAAAAAAAAAGATTCTTCTTTAGTCCTTCAATGTCCATTCATGTAGGCCCAATTATTCACAAGCAGATTAACAGTGTATACGTTTGAAAAGAAAACCTGTAATACACTTTCCACAACCACTATCGGCATAAAAACTTTCCATT